ATGGCTATGTCTTGTAATGATTCTCTCGCCCTCTGATCTCAAATGCTTAACTACTTCTCTCAGTACTTTTGTTAATATGTAACCTGCAGTTGAAATTCCGATAGGAAGAACATTGAATACAAAATATCTCGTATTTCCATTGAAATCCCAATCAAAACCTAAAAACGTTTTGTGTATTTCTGCTATTTCTAAATGGTGATATGCGGATCTAATATCAAAACTAAATAAATAATCTCCTTTTTGAAAAAGATTTCGTGCTATCTTGGCATCCTCATATTTATACTTAAACTTAAAGAGGTGTGAATTCAGATGCCTACAATCAAGTACTACTCTTGGATTATTTTTAATTACAAAAGAAGACTTAACTCTTGACAAAAAAAAGTCTATTAAAAAAATGTTTGATTTTAATTGGGACTATAATTTCTACAATAGTCATACGCCAAACATAAACTGAAATAAGGATTAAAATACTTATTTTTTTAACAAAACAGAACACAAGAGGCACAAAAATACAAGAATATCCAAACGCATGAGTAAATTCATAGTGTATTGAAAAGCACATCTGAAAGCACCTTCTAAGGAACAAAATGGCTTTTAGTAAAATGTGATTAAATATGTATTATGTATGAAGTGCAAAATGTGGCGCATATGTATTACTGAATCATAATATGTTTGCGAATTTTTATGCAGCTAATGATGGTCCAATTTATTGATTGATTAACATAAATGGTATATTATTTTTTTCATAATCAGGGCTGTGATATCGTTCTCTTTTTGTCTTTGCGAACAGTAGATAAGTGCTTCTTACACTAGACACCTATCGACAGTTTTTAGTAGTTCGGAAAGAACACTGGTCGATCATTGTGTCCCTTTGAAAGCACCAATGAACCATTTTCAGTTAAATATTTAGTAAATATTAAAATTACAGTGTTATGAAGAATTGATTCTGACGTTTATTTGTTCTTGTCTCCATTTTATCAATCAATATCGTTCCAGCGGTCATCAGATGGCTACAGACAAATTAACAATTAATGGTATTCAAGGTTCGGCTGCAAGTACTTCCGAACTATTGTCTGACAGAATTACATAAAAAACATAATTTTCTGACCGACAATATATTGGTCTTATAATTTTCGGAATAAATGTTTATGGGTAATTTATAAAATATTTATTTTCATTAAACATGTTAAAAACAGATAATCTTTTTTCTTAAAGACGGAATTGTGTTTGGTAATTAATGAAATAGCACCTCATTGTTTGATCCTTGATGAAATAGCATTATCATTTTTCAATTTGAAAAACATTCATATAACGTATACATTATTTAAATGTGTATCTTAAAATATAACCTATGGATATCTGACACAGATCAGGGAAATCGTCAGGCAACTAATGGACACTCGAAAGAAATAAAGCAAATAAATGTAAAATATGATAAGTTTGCTTCAATATGAAAGGCAATGTTGACCTTAGTTGGATGTGGCCATTATTTGTATGTCCTTTGTGGTCATATAGCGATTCAACGTTTTCGGTTCTTCGACACCCGTGGCTGTCACATATTCGGCTTTGAGGGTTCCTGGTGAGGGTAAATCCAGAAAAGAGCTTTGAACACATGTATTATACAGTGTTGTTTTCATATTTTGTGACAAAAATATCGCCTAGACTATTGTTAAATGTCTACTCTGTTTGACTGGCTTCAAATCGTTCCTAGTCTAGTGAAAGTGTAAATAACCATACTTTAGAACCTTACAATAACACTTATTTTTACAATTGTGTACTCCACTTCACACCTCTTTCATGTTGTTTTTCAAATCAATCCTGCCTACTTGTGCCATAAAGATTATTATGGACTCCGAATGAGAGAAGAAACAATACCAAGCTAAACAGTAGTAGATCAGAAATACTTTATAACAATGATGACAAAGCAAAATAACAGAAAAGTCAGCAGATCAAACAAACATACAATAAAGTATAGAATTACATTTTTAAAACCATTTTACATTTTGAAATAGAAATTAGCACCTTCAGTTTAATTAGAATATAAATCAGAGGCATACAAACACTTGTTTATCTTATCTACAAAATATAAAAAAAATGTTTTGATAACCATTCTTAAACTGGACAAAAGTATGGGTAACTATAATGAAGTCCATTGAACAAAAATCATATCATACAATGATATTGATATGTTTTGATTTCACAAAGGAAATTGGTGTAAGCAAATGAAATAGCACAACTTCACATTATCGGAATGCTGATCACAAATACTAATATCATACTACATGAAACATTTATTTATTGAAATACAGCACTTTGTTAAATGTACATATTTATTCAATATTTCATACCCAGGCGTATTTAATCTGATCAATTCAACGACTACAAATGTATATGCAATAAATTCACATAGCTAAAAGCATAAGACATTAATGAAGCAATTTATCATAAATGAGAGATTAAAGGACTTATACAAAGAGGATCAGTGATTCATCTGTTTTCTGGAAAAATAATAAAATGTATGAAAGTTTAGTAATTTGTGACATTTCAAAATAAATTAAAACAATAAGAAATTATGATGATGAAAACATTGTCACTTGTGTTAATGGCTTTTGGCATGTATCAATGATTATACAATTGAATTAACGTACTATTTTAAACATTGTAAAGTTGATTCTTTTCACAGTTCGTGTTCGAATCAGTTGGTTAGTTGAAAAAAACCCAAGTATAGCTATATTTATTTATTTTTTATTTCATTTGGAAATAGATTAAGAAAGGATTCACAATAAAGCTAACGGGTTATTAGTTCCCTAGGATATCATCCAACCAGTAGAAAATAGTTCGGCATTGGCAATAATTCTCTACGAACATACTTTATATTTGCAGATGAGAACTGTGTCCTTTTTTAGGCCTCGTTCAAAGCTTGCCATATAGGGTTTAGGAAATTCATTTAGATTAGTAAAGGTAAAATAGTTCCCCCAATATACTAAATCGTTCAAACTAACCCTTTGTGGGTTTGGCCATTCATTATTTATAGGTTGGCTGCCCAAAAGGTCTGAGACTTCCCAGGGTAAGTAAATAGACACACACATCGATGACAATGGTGGAAGATCTACTTTTATTTGAAATTAAGAATTAAGAACATACTTGGAATATTGATATACGCGGCTAGTTATCAACTTCAACTTGGAGTTATGTTTCTTTTTGTGTTTTTTAAGTGTTGTTTTTCTGACTTATACATTTATTTGATATTCAAATTTGAAATTATCACTTTGAAAACAGAATTTTACATAAAGTAATAACATTGGGTCGTATCATCAGTATGCACACGATTTGTATCATCGAAAATCCCAAGAATGAAGTCATTTCCATTTTGAATTATTGCAAAACAAAATAGATAAATATAAGTGCTACAGAAATGGACACACTGTGGCCTAGAGTAGCATTGTGTTATTCCTTGTCTAGCCTACCACTAAAATCGATATCTATATAAAAATCAGTCGGCTAAAGATAAGATGGCTATTTAAAGATTCTTTAAATCCTAGCTCTTACTGTGATCGACGGAATTGTGTGTTTGGTAATTGATAAAATAACACATCATTGTTTGATCCCTGATGCAAAAGCATAATCAATTTTCAATTTGAAAGAAATTCATGTAAAATAATCATAATGTAAATGCATATCTTAAAATCTTTGTTTATAGATACCTGACACGGTTCAGGGAAATCGTTCAGGGCACTTAATGGACAGTCGAAGGAAGTAAAGATAACAAAATGGCATATGTAAAAGTAAAATATGATATTAAGCCTTAGTGAATGTGAAAGGCAGAGTTAACCTTAGATGGATATTGGCTATTATTTTTATGTCCTTTTTGGTCATATAGCTCTTCAACTGTTTCGGTTCTTATACATCTTTGGCTTTCACATATTCGGCTTTGAGTGTTCCTGATGAAGTTAAATCCAGAAAAAAAGCTTAAGACGCAGGCAATTTATAAAGTCTTGTTTTCATTTTTTTTGCGACAAAAATATCGCATAGATTATGACAAAGCGTTTAGTAATCGGTTTGTTGGGTTTTAAATCATCCAGTGAAAGTGTAAACAACCATACAAGAGCACCTTACACTTACACTAAGGTTTACAATTTGGAACTCTACCCTGAATTGCTATTATGTTGTTTTTTAATTCATCCCTGGCTACTAACGCCATAAAAATTATTATGGAACCCAAATTAGAAAAGGAACAAAACCAAACTAAACATTGGTAGCTCACAAATACGTTATAACAATGATGACAAGGTACAGTTACAAGAGAAGTCAGCAGATCATTCATAAAAACATACCATAAAGTATACATTTGCATTTTTTGAAATCATTTTTCATTTTGAAATAGAAATTAGCATCTTCAGTTTAATTAGAATATAAATCAGAGTCATACACTCAACGAAATAGATAAATGTTTTTATATCCAGTCTTAAGCTGTACAAAAGTATGGGTTAATATAATGATAAGTCCGCTGAAGAGCAGTTACAAAAACATATCATACAATTATGTTTTGATTTCACAATAGTAATTGGTAAACATATACAATAGCACAATATCACATCACCGGAATACTGATTACAAATATTAATATCATACTAAATGAAACGTTTGTTTATAGAAACACAATACTTTTTTCCATGTATATATGTTTTCAATATTTCATACCCATTATTCTGATCGATTCAATGACTTCATACAATAAATTTATATAGCTAAAAGCATAAGACATTAATAAAGCAATTTAGCATAAATGAGAGATTAAATGTCTTATACAGAGGAGACCAGTGATTCAAATTTTATTTCTGGGAAAAATTGAAATATATGAAAGTTCAAAAGTTCAATACTTGTGACCTTTCAAAATGAATTACAACAGTGAGCATATTATCATGATAAACAATTATCTCTTTTGTTAATGGATTATGAAATGAATCAATGATAATAAGATTGTATTAACGCAATATTTTTAATATTATAAAGTTAATGACCCCTAAAAACAAATATATAATCTCTTAAGAATTTTTAAAGTTGGTGTTAAATAAGCTATACTATTTTTTTTCTTCAACTTGCCAACTGATTGGAACACGAACTTTAAAAATTATCATATTATAGCTATACTTATTCATTTTTCAATTTCATTTCGAAAGAGATTTAGAAAGGATTCACAACACAACTAACGGATTGTTAGCCAAGGTTGATCTATCATCCAGCCAGTAGCAAATAATTCGGCATTGGCAATAATTTACTACGAACATACTTTAATTTGCAGCTGAGAGCTGTGTCATTGTGTATGCCTCGTTTAAAGTTTGCCTTATATGGTTTGGATATTCATTTATGTTAGTAAAGGTAAAAACGTCCCCCAATATACTAAATCGTACAAAGTTAACCCTTTGTGGGTTTGGCTATTCGTTATGCATAGTTTGGCTACCCAAAAAGCCCTGAGACTTCCCGTGAAAAGTAAATACACATACGCATCGTTGGCCGTGGTGGAAGTTCTACGTTAATTGTAAATTAAGAACTAAATTAACAGAACATACTTGGAATATTGATATACGCGTCTAGTTATCAACTTCTACTTCGCGTTATGTTTCTATTTGTGTTTTTGTTTTCTTAAGTGTAGTTTTTCTGACTGCTAGTAGTACATTTATTTGATTTGCAAATTGAAAATCCTCACTTTGAAAATAGCATTTGACATATAAAGCCATAATATTAAAATTATTCTTATCGTCAGTATGCAACGATTTAGATTATTGAAAATCCCTGGAATGAAGTTATCATCATCTTGAATTATTGCAAAACCAAATAAATAAATACAAATGATACAAAAATGGACACACTGTGACCTACAGTAAAAATGTGTTATTTCTTGTTTAGACTTCCACTAAAATCGATATCTGTATAAAAATAAGTCGGCTAAAGATAAGAAGGCTAATTATAGGTTCTTCAAATGTTAGCTCTTACTGCGATCGACCATATGGAAATATTAATTATTTGATTTTCTATTCAACAATAATCTGGATTTGTAATGTAATTCATTTTTTTGAAAGAAGTCTGGTGAAATCTTTTTATTCATGTTTGCAAATGATATTGATGATTTTGTAGCATACATTGACTATGTTATAGAATGACATATAAATATTTATTTACATATAATATAACAATATCCAAGACCATGTTAAAATAATATCCTTGAAATAAAGAAAATTTTCATAAAACGTACATCTATTAACAAAACTGTTAAAGAAAATATCACAAATGTTCATTTGTCTGTATTTATGATATAGGAATATAGAACTTTTAAAGCAATGATTTACAGTCGTGTTCAATGACTTGTTACCGTAAATCTGGCATATCGTATATTGATATACAAATATGGGTTCGTATTACTGTTTGACGTTATATCCTTGAAATATAAAAATGTTCCTAAAACTTATACCGAACATCACTTTGATTGATGTGTATTAGACATTTGACATTTTACTTGGCTTTTCTATAACTAGGAAATCAATTCTTCTGTCATCATTATCCTTATAGAAACCAATAGATTGTTTCGGTGGTTCGCCTAACAGTACACCCGATTCATTTTCTAATGTTGTCATGACAGCATCGTTAACCTTGTCGATGAGACGAGCTGTAACACTGTGTGAATCGCCGACATTATCATTTCTATTTCGGTTTTCATCTATATCAATATCATGTATATCCCATGATTGAACATATTGGTCAATTTTTGTTTTGAAATTACTTTTAAAACTAAGATTGTTTGTATCTAGCTCTAACGGGTCTCTTCCACTGAATAAAACATTTTCGAACACCCATGGTAAAAGTCCACCAGCCAGCGTTGCCAACATCTGATTCGCACCAGATATATTATACTCATCACCAAAAGCTAACACAATAAGTACGACGAACATCAGAAATGCGCATATGCACATGAATCGCCATACTGCGTGTATGATATTCGGAATGAGAGGACCAGGTGCCCCGACGGTATCCATATAACAAGTTGAAAAGAAAAACTTTTCTGTTAAATACGGTTGGTCTTGTCGGTCTAGAAATAAAATTAATTTCCGAACGGACCATTTTGGTATTCCATCTTTTGATACAATCAATCTTACATTTGTGTCATTTTCATTGGTCTGTTCATCACCTTCGTCATTTGTGGTAATCTGGAATGCAGTATTTTTCTGTTCTTCAAAACATTCACTAGCAATTGCTTCGACCTGAGAGCGATTGCTTTCAACTATCAAACTGTTTATTGTTTGATTAAATTTGAGATATTTTTCACTTATACCTTTAAAGCAATTCCGCGCATAAAGACCAAGCATAAAAACAAGAGTAATGTACTTGAGCATGTCGGAAGAATTCATGATAATACCTATGACTGTGTATAAAATCATTTCAACGAAGAAGATAATTGTCTCCATGGTCAACAGAACAAGGGCAAATATAGTAATCAAACACATCGGTAAAACAAAAAGTTGCAAGAGTCTGTTTTTACATGACACCGTTTCTCTTGTTTTGTCTGGTACGTTTTGTAGATGAAAAAGGTTGAACATGAAACCACATCTCTTCTTACAGGAAATTAGGGCTTCTCTATTACACATTCCTGACCATTGAGTAAGATAAGCTAAGAAATGTGCCAGTAAACGTATAGTAACGTTAATGGTTGGTACACAGTAAAAGGCTAAAGAAATCAAAATGATTGGAAGAGCAAATATGAAATAAAGGGGGTATATAATTAACCCAACTATTCCACATATTTCGCATGGAATGAGCAGTTGAACAATTGAACCTTTAATTTTGGCAATCTTTGAAATTTGACGCATATCCCTCATTGACCGTCTCATCAAAGATTGTAATTTCTTTTTGATCCTAGGGCTGACCAATGCAAACACTATCGCATCAGTTATAATAACGGCGTAGCAAAGTATGAACATAGGATGAAGAGGCGTAAGAGTATACGTCAAACTCCATTTCAATGCTGGTAGTGTCAAATTCCGTACTTCCGCTGCTTTTTTCTGATCTGAAGCTTCCGAATCTTCATATTCATAGTAGAAATATACTCTGAGAGCCCAAGGAACCGATATGGCTAAAATCAACAACAGCCTCATGGTTTGTCGGAGACATCTGTGCCATGGGTATTTTATAATGTCTTCAGGTTGAATTGTGCTTGTCTGCATCTCGTCATCTGGAACTTTATCGGTTTCTTCATCGATGTTAAGTGTTTGTGCCTTTTTACCAAATAACCATTGAAACCCAAAAATGCTACTTCTACAACATTTTTGAAAAGATGGAGATTTTCGTATGTGACACTTCACAAATAAAGAATACACTACTTGTAAAATGCCAACTGGTACATAATTTGACGGAACAAGTCTATCGTATCTAACAACTATATCAAGTTTTCGGAGAGATATTGTCAAGACTTTGTTAATAGGAACTGTTTTCATTGTTTCATAAAATTTCTTTAATTTACAGACCCTATTCCACTCGTAAGAATCTTGCATGTTTTTAAGCTGGTTCATTTCCACGCTCGGAACATTTAAATAGGTTAATTTCGATTTGTCATCTTTTATTATTTTTTTTATTCGAAGTTCAATAGGTTTTGACAGAACATGTTCATAGACAGTTTCTGTGTATTTCTTTCTGTACAAGGATGCCGGTATGAGAAGCGGACAGAACATAAGCACAAGTACTTTGATTAAGAAGATACATGTAAATAATATTTCCATCCAATAATCGCTCGATATATTCTTGCATTCCAGGTGTTCATTAACTTTACTATGTCCATGCCAGCAGCATACGTATTTGAAAGCAACAATAGATTGTTCGTTTTTAACCTCAACATTGCAGATCTTCTCATTTTCGACTGCATGATCGTCTCCAAGATTCATTTTAAAGTCCATAACCAGTAGTCGTCGCAAGTTGTCCTCAATGGTGGATAAATTATGCCTGGTAAGACACTGAGTTGGCGTTTGTTTTAGCCTAACATCAATATGTTCTGTGTTAAAAGAAAGTGTTGTGAGAGATAAGTGTTCAAACTGAGGACGGAGATAAAGAAGGCTTCGTCCATGTCTTCCATAGGTTCGGATCCAGTCAAGTGGTTTGTAAATATCCCCTTGATGGCTTTTGGATTCCAGATTTTTGTGATCCTCAAATTCAAGATGAATGAATATTAGTTTCTTACCTTCACTTAACATTATGTTTAATTTGCTCCTTAATTCAGGATCCACCGGTTGTACTTTACAATTCGGAATTAGTAATCCAACAGCAAATATAGTGTCATAGGGATCACTTTCATTGTGTCCTGTATGTTTATGATTATCCTCTGCAAAACAGTATGTCCAGAAACATATAGACAGGAAAACAAATAATATTGTCATTTTCATCAGATAGTTTGCAATATTATTTTATAAGAAATTTCAATAAACCTAGTCAAATAGCACAATTTATCACTATGCAGTCTTTGAAGTGTTTCAGCTCTAAATATGATCCAAATATTGATTGATGAAGTCATGTCTAAAAGGAGGATGAACTTAGATTATGGAAACTTGCGAACGTAGGCAGAAAAAAGTATTGGAAAAAACAAAACGTTTTCTCATTATCTGTAATGTGCTTTAATTGCATAAATTATGATATGTGATAATGATCAATACTTATAACATAATCATAGTTTAAAGTCGGTGATCCATATGAAAATCTAAAATATGATGATGATCTTGATTCAATTATAATCTAATAATCAGTTATTTTTGATGAAAATTTCAAAATAATACATATAAATATGTATCATAGTTTAGTAACGTTTATGGTTTATTCTCTTATATTCTTAATTATTATTCAACGTGCAAAGTCTTTTGATGTTACCGATATATACTGTTGCGGATAAATTTAAAATACTATGCTATGCGAAATGATTACAAAGATAGAAATGGAAAATTGAAAAGATCTAAAGTACTCAACCCAACCATACTAAACTTTAAATAGTATACGTGTGTGTGTAATTCGCAGACACCCACTTCCCAATAAAACAAATTGGTAAATAGCAACACGCAAGAACAGTATAAAATACGCAGTTTTCGACTATTTTACCTGACTGTTTTTGGACGAATTATATGTGTTATCGTAACACCAGACATGTTAATGCTTCTAACAAAGTATTGCTGCTGAAACTCAGTCGATCGGTCCGACTAAAACATCTATACTACACAAAAACTTATTATTGTGTTTTTGTATGGTGGTGTATATATTTTGGGCAAATATTTAATTCATTATTTACGTATTTTATCGGTTTTCATTATGAAATCGTCTTTGTCAAAATGATCTTTGTCAGACGTTCTATATGTATAGCCCTTGATTATATAGATTCTCTAGTAATTTAGCTAGTTACGGTGTAACTTTGTACGGTTTATACAAAATATGGATTTGCGAATATGATTGGCATCTTAATATAAACATAATGAGTTGTGGTATGATTGCCGATGGGACAACTACCTATAAAAACCAAAGGACAAAAATGTGAACAATGACAGGTCACTGTACGGCTTTCAACTATGAACAAACTCATACCGTATAAGTAATTATAAGATAGGCCACGGGAGGACAAAATGTTTAACAAATCAAAACAGCAAACCAACGGCTTTCATGTATGCTACAACAATGAATGAAACACAAATATGACAGACTTAAACTAAAGAACAACTAAGCCTTTTTCTGGACACTGTTTATTTTCAATTTGTTAAAAAATTATTTGAGTGGACTTTGCGGATATGATATGTATATTGAACACAATAAAATCAAGGATACAAGTTATTAAGTATCACGGTATAAAATATACTGGCAGTTATAGAAAGGCAACTCAATGTTCTTTACACTTTACTACTGGTAGCAGTTCTTTAGGGAGAATTTTTTTTATAGAAACGTCGTGTAAATTGCGAAAAGAGACGATTGTTTGAAAAGCTTATATCAAGTATGTACAGAACTTGTAAATGCATAGAAGAAAGATTTAGGGATAGTTCCCAAACTTGTTTTCTTTAAATATCATATTACCATAAGAAGCTGGGTTTTGATAACAATGTTTAGGCTTTTAAATATTCGGCTTTGAGCGTTCCTGATAAAGGTAAATCCAGAAAAGCGCTTCGGACGCATGAAACTTATAACGTGTTGTTTTCATTTTTTTAATAATATTTTGTAAAGACTTTGACAAATTTATGATATCTGTATCCTAATTGTAAAGATCTTTAAGTAAGGAAACTATAACAAAAAAAAAGTCATGTATTTAAAGCTGAGACTCAACTGCAACACTCCATATTTTTCGCATTGTTGAAGGCCGTACGGTGACCTATAATTGATCATATGTCTTCGTTATATTAACTGTGGTGGATAGTTGTGTCATTAGCAATCATACAACATCTCTTTGTGTTTATATGAGAAAGACATCAAATGTAAAATAGGACAATTGTTAACTGCAAAATTGTTTGTAAAACTACGGTCAATACACAATTTATCGCGTTCTCATTGAAATAAAGTTGCAACGTACGTGACATTATTTGTTATTGTTTTGTTTGAACTTGTGACTTCATCCTCTTTTTTATAGATATTTTAAAGTTAAGTGCTTTTGTCCAATTTTCATCGGTTTTTTTTTTAAATTTACCTTTTGTTAGTTCACTAATCGGGATTAAAAGTGAAAGGATTTTATATTTCCAGAAACAAGTTTAACCCAGTGACATATTGATATGCTAGCTGCCCTAAGTCACGAACCTCCTCAGTAGTTGTCTTATGTTAAATCTTTAGTTTTTTGGTTATAAGAAGAATTTTGTGTTAGCGGACGATCTTTGATATCTTATACTTACAACTTTTGTAGCTATGTTTCACTACGTGACATATTCATTTGCCTAACCCAGGTCAGGTACTTCTTCAGTGGTTTTCAACGTTAAATCTTATTGTTTAGGGTTATTTGAAGAATTTGGTATTGATTGAGGACCTTTGATAGTTTCTTTTCACAGCCTTTGTAGACAATGGACGATTTAGAGATTTATCCATTGTATAGACACATAGCTGTTGATAAAAAAAAACGTATGTGAAACTCTAGATGAATTTTGGTTATTTGAATATATTCATTCTGATATTCAAATATATCTCTTGAAAAATACGTGAAAATATGCGTTTTACAATGCATGCCTTCTTTTTGATTTGTAAATAACCACTATTGCACAAGGTCATGTTTTTCTCTGACTGTTAATGACGTCTTGTTGGATGTCTTCTGCTTGATATTTTAGTCTTAGATGCATGATATTTTTTTATTAGTTGTTATTGTTATATTAATACACCACTAACCCAGGTTAGGGTGAGGGTTGGCGCCTTCAAACTAGTTTAATCCCGCCACATTCTGTATCTGCCTGTTCCAAGTCAGGAGCCTGTAATTCAGTGGTTGTCGTTTGTTGCTGTGTATCATATTTGTTTTTCGTTCATTACTTTTTACATAAATTAGGCCGTTAGTTTTCTCGTTTGTATTGTTTTACATTTGTCATTTCGGGGCCTTTTATAGCTGACTATGCAGTATGGGTTTTGCTCATTGTTGAAGACAGTATGGTGACCTATATTTGTTAATTTCTGTGTCATTTGGTCACTTGTGGATAGTTTTCTCATTGGCAATCATACCACATCTTCTTATTTTTATACTTATACAAGATTTAATTTATCTTGAGGTTTTATATTCTGCAAATGATTATTTTGCTAGATAGACCTTAAGGTTTACTGACAAATTACATATATCAAAAGAGAGTCGAAAGATACCAAAGGGATGTTCAAACAAAACTACGAGCTGGACACAACATATCGTTGCCAATACATTGATCTAACTCGTATTGATGGTTAAGTGAGGCAACAGTTTTGGCTTCGAAATCAGAATTTCTTACTAATATAAATTGGTCAGTTATTTGGCTTCAGATAACCCAAATACATCCTTGTACGATAACATTATTTATACTCAGATATAGAGAACAGCGCTACACAAGAAAATAATCTACTTATAAAATAAGATAACATGCATGCATTGAAATAAACAGATTTTCATTTTTCTACAAAATATTACTAATAGTATAAACACGATGTAACATTCTATTGATTTCTTTGATATTCTACGGTTTTCAACGGTATCTTGATAATCGATTATACGGAAATCATAACATTAATTGTCAGATTAATAATTTGCAGCAGACACAAAAACTAAGTAAACAAATTATTGGTTGATTGATTGATGGTTGATTAACGTCCAGTGGCAAATATTTCATGCATGTTCAGGACGATATAATTATTGGTATATTATTACAAAAACTAGTTTCTCGAATATTCAGTTAATTGTTAATTTGATCAATTTCCTGTTTTGTTCTGCTGTTTCACTATTTACATGCAATAAATAACAAGAACAAATCAATGTGATTGTATATTTAACTTATAAAATATTGACGAGGAATATTTTTTATAAATACCATTCTAAAAAAGCAATGGCTTTTAGTTTTGTCTTTTTTATTGGTACCATATTTGGTTTTTTTTTGGTGGGGAGGGGGAAGGTGGGGGTTCTTTTTGCAATCGACCTTTCTACTATACAAATTCAGGTGAACAGATAACACGAAGCATTAAATGTATAGTCGTGTAAAGTTTCCTGGTATCCCGTTTCTGTTGCAAGCGAGCGGTTATGTTTAAATTACTTTTTACGTCACATTTCGATTTGCGATCCTCATCGAGGTCCTTGTTAAAGTGATGTCGATGTCATTCAAAAATAAATAATTCAACGATTTGGAACTAAAAACCTATATGTATGAGATTAATGTTGAATTACAGGATAAACACAATATTCGCAGTATTGAAAAAAATGAAATTTATTTGTATTCGCTACGAAACAGGAAAAAGTTTGGAGAGCACTGTTTCTTAAGATCGTCATATAAATTTTATGTGTTCCTACACTGTACGAATATTGCATAAATGCATGTACACCATGCACATGTATGTGTGTTTTGCAAACATCCTGTATCACAAACCCTGTTTGAAATACCTCTACAATTATTTTGTTTCAATATGTATGGTAGAATGACCACCACTTATGATCTAGTTGACATCCAATGGACTCTGATGGATACTAGTAGTTGTCTCATTATCAATCACAACACATCTCCTTATTTTCATAATACATGATACATTTTTTGGGCGTTCTATATCAACCCTTGATTATTATTATTAGTTCGTTGGCATACGGATATTGATCTCTCGTTTTAATTCAGCATATAGTGAACTTTTTTAAAGTAAGAAGATAGATACCAAACCGTAATTTGAAAGATAAAAAAAATCTGGTCAAATAAAAAATAAAAAATTCAGGGCCTATCTCTAAAACTTATATATACAAGTCTTAATTGAAAACAACGTTCAAACTATGATTGTGTTGGATAAAAACCGCAATTTTTATACGTGTGCATTCAAAACTAATTTCTTGGTAGAGGGGTCTAAATACAGCACAAACAGCATTTTCCAAAAGACCAAATGAGTGAAAAAGTATATTTTAACAAAACGCATTTGACTAGCAGGTCGAACAACTGATGTTCTTAAACCCTGCTGACTGCCATTGGCGATTGCCAAATAAACGGATCACAAGATGTAACAAAATATATCTTATTATTGATTTATTACCAAACAGAAAACAATAAACTTTCGGAAAAGATGGTATACCGCAAACATGAGGTGCAAATATTTGTACACCATATCCGAATTTCGACAATTAATGTCTCTTCTGTGATGTTAGGAATCGAAACGGTATTTGGAAGGCCATATAATTTACCTCAATTTAGGATAGACTCTTGAATTTGGAAAGAGTCAAAATAGGATGAACGGATCATATAAACCCGAAGGCAAATATAATACAAGCCCAAACGAAAATATATAAATAAGTCTAAATTGAAAACAACGTTCAAACCTAAGATTGCGATGGATAAAAACCGCAATTTTTATACGTGTGCATGCAAAGCAAATTTCTTGGTAGAAGGGTCTAAATACAGCACAAACAACATTTTCCAAAAGACCAAATGAGTGAAAAAAGTATATTTTAACAAAACGCATTTGACGTATATATATATCGATAGTATATTATATCAGTATTACAATATGCGATTTGTGTTTACTTCAGATGTTTTTTATTTTAATTTTTGGGATTTGACCTTATAAGCTAAAATATTGAAATCTCAAACACCTTTTTCAAATTTTGAATTTTAACACGGGTCACTTGTATTAAACTTTTGAGTTATTCAAAAAACTTGATATGAAAAGTACTCATCTATTTTATATTTTTCTACGATTTGCAACATCAAATATGTGTTGATACAGTATTTAAGCTAAGCCAAGTTACTACAACCAAACGATATATATTCTGGCCTTGGGAATTGGCAGGTAATGTAATTCGTAGTTCGGATATTGTCATTTGGTTATGAGAAATACCAATGGCAGCAATAACTTATGTCAACACGACGGGTGCCACACGTAGAGCCGGATCTGCTTACTGTTCCAGAGCACCTGAGATCATCCCCAGTTTTTGTTTGGGTTCGTGTTTCTCAGTCTTTAGTTTTCTATGTTGGGTATTGTGTATTGTTGTTTGTCTGTTTGTCTGTTTGTCTGTTGGTCTTTTTCTTTTTTAGCCATGGCGTTGTCAGTTTAATTTTGACTTGTGAGTTTGAATGTCCCTTAAAAGTTTGGTATCTTTCGCCTATCTTTTACATATTTAAAATTCTCCAATATTTGTCGTCACACGCAGACACTAGACATTTAAGCTATTCTGCATCCTGATATCAGATGAAGAAGATGCTTGTTATATACACGTATATTCATAGTAATTGTGTTTTATCGTAAAGAGTGAAGAAGTTATTGAACAATATCACATAATACAATAAACCTCTTTTTTACGACATTGCTGCTTGAAATTTTCTCCAAAGAATAGCAACATTAGGCTGTGTATAGGACGGAATGGTTTCTTACATGCAGTAGATCAAGAACTTGTCTGCGACTGCATTTATTGTACAATTTTGTTATTCTACTGATCGAAATAAAAAGACAGAGAGTTGATATTTAAAAAAAAAGTTTAAATACACCATTAAACCATTTGCCTGTTCCAAGTCAGGAACATTGTCAGCGGTCGTCTTAAAGTATATCTTAATGTTTGTACTTCCAGGAAGTTGGGTTGATGGCATATCTATTTTAGTTTTTAGTTTCTGTTGCACTCCATTTCCAGAGTTGTTGTAATTCAGAACCGGTTGACTAATGTTTAGCTATTTGTCTATTGTTGAAAACCTCTTGGCGTCTTTCGGCATTTTTCGTCTTTTGGTTACCGTTGTCTGTAGCATAAAACCCATTCTTTTATTCGTTTATAATTATGACATTAATCGTCTAGATAGATAGATGGCAATGTAACTTGCAATACACAAAACTTTTCCCTACCTTTCTCTTTTTTGGCGACAACACTACAACATATTTTCTCAAATAGATAGAGACTGTAACGGCTGTACAGGGCTTTTACTTAATAGATATATAATTCAACCCAGCAGTGTCAGAACAGTTACTATACTAAACATTTGCATTTTTGTTTTTATGATTTTTTTTATAATTCAAATAATATCACAATAAGATTTTATTTTGGTTCTAAACATTTTATTTTGCTAACGGAAAACCGTAACATCAATAACAGGAAGTCCATCCGCATTTTCGCCCATAGATTCGGCTACAAACGGTTCCTCGGCATGGTGCTTGGGATACCCTACAGCAGTTAATGTCCCCTTTAGAGCATCTTACTGCAACCTATAAGATTAAAAGGAATGTTTCATTAATTGTGAGTTTATCATTTAGTGCATATATAATATACATTTTAAGTAAGCATATAAAAATTTCAAACAAAACTTACAGCAAAATAATCGAGATTTTAACAAATTTAAACTGAAGAATTAAAAATAATTTGTATTACAATACATTTTTTGGAAATAGTAAGAGTAATCAGAAATCAAGCAATGTAAACGAATTATCAACAGCTTAAAAGTCATAGCTTACTGATCAACACAGGAAAAAGTGTCAATTTTCTACCAAATTCAATGAAATCTTGGCCATTTTCCGTTTTGTTTTTAAGGACCGGATACACCTAACGCGTACCTGTAAGGACCGGATACACCTAACGCGTACCTGTAAGGACCGGATACACCTAACGCGTACCTGTAAGGACCGGATACACCTAACGCGTATCTGTAAGGACCGGATACACCTAACGCGTACCTGGCCATAAAATAACATAAACGGTACCAATTTTTCTGCACCGCAGCGCATTTCGACAATAAATGTCTCTTCAGTGATGCTCGAGGCCAAAATATTTGAAAATCCAAAGCTTATTAGAAAGATGAAGAGCTATAAAACAAAAGGGACAAAAAAGTAAAGCCAAAGCCGGACAAGGAATCAGAACTTTGCATGAGGGAGATACATTCCTTAACTTAAATAATTTTCAAAATTTTGTAACAGCAAATTTTAATAACACAAACTCCGTGTTTTCATGCCAGTACCGAAGTACTGGCTACTGGGCTAGTGATACCCTCGGGGACTATCATATTCTATTATTATGATTGACAAATATGACTTCAGTGGAACCCTACGCTCTGTTTTTCCAATGTCGAAATCCAGAAGATTTTGTGATCATTCGCCAAAATTTCGATTCACAAAAGTCGTCCTTATTTCACATTCCCATAGTTTTCTTTATATCAAATTGAAACACTTTTTATTTCTATAGAATGGACTTAATATTGGTGACTAATTTGGTCCCTTACCACACCGTCTCCTTTAGAAGTATTCAAATTACAAGAATCACTGAAGGAAACATACAACATTGTTGTTATATGTCCAGTACACTTGCAAGTAGGATAAAAATTTTGTTGATGTTTTCCCACTGCGATATATAACAGAAATACTAGAATGAGTAATGACGGATGAGTTTTAAATTAACTAAATGATAAATAAAATATGCTTATAATTATCTTATGCAGTATTTCTTAAAATCTTAAAAAGTATTGCTCGTTTTAGAAATAACAAAGTGTACCAAAATGTTATTACTGAAAACGTATTGTTTTTTGTACAAACGCGTAATAAATGACGGCTTCCTTTAAGTAGAAAATTACTATATTATTAATTCTTTAAGTACACCCACATAGCTTAAGTTAAGGACTTACGTCACAGTTGTTTGTACATGTCTTAGCATAACCTCCAGTTCTTAGGGTTCTTCTTTCCAATTTTGTCAAGGTACTCCACCTTGCAATCCAGCTATTACATAAAGATAATGTATTTCGTCCATTTTCAACGTTTCCTATTAAAGAGTAAAATGAAAACCTAATTTGAAAATGATTGAATTACTATAGGTCAATGCTATTTCAAGTTTCATATAAATCTCTCCGTGTATAATTATAATTGTCATCAGTTGTTTGGGGCTGTTTTATTGATAAATACTTCAACATTTTCTCCTTTAGTTGCAATTGATCAATTTAAATGCTTTTTTGCCATTCTGCCGAAGTTGATAATTTGAAAATTTCCTGTGTGAAATGAGGATAGTGTGTCAATAAAATGGTTGCAAAAGTTTTTTTTTGGTGGAAAAAATAAAGTTTAGAAATTATTAATGTTTAATGACTGCCTCATATATATAGAAATGCATATTTTGGCCAATTGCAGAAAACTACGACATCGCATTTCAAAAACAACTAGGGGCCTCGGTGGCCGAGTGGTCTGAGTAATTCAACTACTGAATCACTCACTAGCCTGTCAACAATGAGGATGTGTATTCCAATCTCGCACGTGGCAAGTGCGTTCGACTCTAATCACTCACTAGCCTGTCAACAATGGGGTTGTGAGTTCCAATCCCGCGCGTGGCAAGTGCGTTCGACTCTAATCTTAATTGCCAAAGGTCGGTGGTTCCCTACTGGGCACTCCGGCTTCCACCGCCTATAAAAAAACCGCCGCTAAATAGCCAATAGGGCTGAAAGTGGCATTAAACACCAACAATCAATCAATCAATCAATCAATCAATCAATCTATCAATCTATCAATCAATCAATCAATCATTCAAAGCAACTAAAAAAATGAACATTTTTGCCAACTTGGCGTTTATAAATGGTTTCCTGAAAGAAAGGGATATTAATATCAAATAAAAAACCGTGTAAGATTGATGAGCTGGTGTACCTACAATGCTATGATAACATTACATAGAAATTAACTTCAGGTTAATTTTACAATGACATTTTTCAAATGGTCACAATATATATACTTAAAGAAGACTGAAATTGTCCGTTTTAAAGGGCGGGTGTATTTGTGAACATCAACACAACATACACCGATCTCCCAAACTCCTACAATGCCATCTACCAGTTAAGTATACAAACTAACTTTATCGGTCCAACTAGAAGTGACTTGTTCAGGATCAACAAATTTGAATATAATACAAACTTCTCGCAAAATGTCTGATTTCCCACTAATTCCATAGAACCAAACATTTTTTTTGTATAAGAGGGCGATCTTTGTTTTAATATCTATCTCTTGATTAACTGTCACCTGAAAATTCAGTTGCATTTCAAAATTCTTCATACAATGGTGATGTATGACTGTTAAATCTTGACTTACTGTGTCTATGCCAGTCTAAATTTATTATATAATTTATTTTATTTGTTTTAGTTATTGGTTTGGTCAGTATTTCAAAGGTAAAATTTTATCAGTTATCGAGTGATTTAGACATAAGACTAAATATTAACTGATTTAAGAATAAATATTAACTGATTTTGTAATTTCAATTTTAAAGAATTTCAATTTAAATGTTTTTGAACTCAAACATTATAGCTATGATCATGAAAGTTCACCTCACAACTCGGGTTGTCTTTCCAAACTTGGTCAGAGGTTACAGATGAGCTGAGTTTGTCATTTTTCCTAAATTCTTCTACAAGACTATTTTGGTACGGTTTTTCATAAAGCTTCTTATATAAAAGTAATAGCATTTCTAATGGTTGCAGGTGTATTTGTATTTATATAGCATTTCTAAAGGTTGCAGGTATATTTGTATTTATAAAGCGTAATCAATAACACATATCGAAGTCGATCTTTTGTTGACGATTTAGACTTAGTAAGCTTTATTTTGGTCGTATGGAGGTAACAATAAAAATATCCACCCCCTTAAAAGCAAACTAAAAAACAAAAGGAAAAAAACAAAACAACACAAAGCTAAGGAAAACATGTACAGAATCTAATGCAACGCAAAAGTTCATGTTGCAGTTTTACCATAATGATTTAAGCTTTCAGCTTGAGAGGACCTACAAATTATAATGTTAAATACCTGTTACAAGGAAGTCCTTTCCATCCAGGACTACACCACATTGAGCAGCAGTGCCAGTAATTAAAGTAGTTTCCTTTCCTTTATAAAGATTGCTCTAAAATATAAAAATAGATTAAACTTCACACGCATTTACTTTTTCATCAAATTTCTTTATATAATTATCAATATTTGTTTTGTCCAATTTTCTTAATCATGAATGCAGCCATGTCTTGATCTGTTTTCGGTTGATGCTCATTAGCAATAATTATAAAAGTGGGTCAAAATTGAGTCAAGGATTTTTCAGAATTTCTCTACGTGATTTTTTATGGTGTCAGCAGTGTTTTTTGTAATAATCTTTAAAGGGATCACCACTGTATCATTTCCTAAAGGTTTGTTTGCAATTAGCTCTTTGCAGATTTCTTTTCTCCAACTATGTTATTAGAATTAATGCTGGTCATGTTTGATGGTGATTGAGTTCTTCAACCATAGCTCTTTTACAAGATTTCTTTGTCCATTTTTAAAATTTTTATGACAGTCAACACCAATAATTCTAAGAGAGAGCATAACTGTATTATCCACAGCTCAGTAGCGATTAGCAATTAACCGAATATTTTGAATTTTGTCTTGATCTGTTTTGTTGATTCTACCAGCAGCTACCATGTTTTCTTCTCAGCGTGATGATTAAAAGAATGATCATACACCGATATGTAACAGAATTGTTGTTACGCATGTTACATGTACAACTTGGAGAAAAATTACTTCGAAATAACCACTTACTTTGAATGCTTCAGTAACTCTCACAAAGTATTTTATTCCGCGGTTGTAATTCAATCTCTTTTGACGCAGAACAGTTACACGAAGTACTGCAAAATAAAAACAACACAACATCCAGCATGAATAAAATCTACATACAAAAACATGACACATATTTTGAAATGGTGGCACTTAAAAAGGCTGGGGTCATATATTTTGGGTATAAGTAATTTGGTGTTGGTTATTTTACCAGTTGGGGTGATGTACTTTTGAGGATAAGTCATTTGGTAAGGAGTGTTTTACCAGTTGGGGTCATGTACTGTAGAGTATAGGTAATTTGGTATGGGGTGTTTAACCAGTTGGGGTCTTGTACTTTTGATGATACGTCATTTGGTAAGAAGTGTTTTACCAGTATGGGTAATGTACTGTAGAGTATAGGTAATTTGATATGGGGTGCTTTACCAGTTTGGGTCATGTACGTTTGATGATACGTCATTCGGTATGGGGTATTTTACCAGTTGGGGTCATGTACTTTTGATGATACGTCATTCGGTATTGGGTATTTTACCAGTTGGGGCCATGTGCTTTTGATGATACATAATTCGGTATGGGGTATTTAACCACTACAGTGATGAAGTACTAAAATGACTGGTTTATGGAAACCAAAGTGATTTACTGAATATTTGTTTCTCGTGTAAGATATATTGAATTATAGTAATTCAGTGAAGTTCACTTGTTTATAAAAAAAATTAACAAAAAGTTAAGGTTACATTTGGATTATTATATTAAAATTTGTGATAAAGCTGTTCTATCGTCTTCTGTTTGTTTTTGCTGAAAATTTTAATTGGAAAAACTATGAGTTTATTATGATATTATGTTCGGTGCTTTCAATAGGCTGTGTATGTACATTTAATAGAGTTAAATAACTTTTACTACTTTAAGAGCAAATTATGTTCTTACGCAAGTATAATACAGTAAAAATACAATTAACATGAAGGTAATTTGAACATATTTGTGATGTCGTTTCACCGTTCTTGGTTGTTCTGACGTAATATTCAGAAGTTAGAAATTCAAATTTTCAACATGCATAGAACTTACAATTAACATATTTAGAAGCATGACACAGTAAAATCGTTTTCCATATGTTAGAAAATTAAGTTAGACTAAGTCATACGGATTTTCGTTTTTTTTTGTGCATTTACAAGACCTAGAATTTTGTAATGTTCCCTTGTTATCTTCTCTATCTTATCCATAACACCAACGTTCACGTCAATACATCAAGTTGGCCAGCTGGTGACCGTGATCGTACCAAATGTGTATAGACATATATGAAATAGTTATTACTTTTGACCAAAACCAATCCATGCAGTGTTATTTTGAAATTATAATTCCGAAGTATAATGTATTATCTGGGACATAATATGTTAGTATAATAGTCCCAGGTATTATTTATTGATTAATTTTGAAAGGAGAAAATAAACACTTACTGCGTCGTTAAAGAAACGATGTACGGTGTAAGATAATGCTAAATGAAATACATAATGATTGCTGCTATTTTCATGACGTCCTATAGTTCAATTTTTAATATGTAGTGTAAATGTCGGTAAAGAGAGTGGAAAATACTTATAAAAAATGCTTTCAAAGTATCAGATTTGTTTAAATAATGTCTTACCAAAATCAGCATTACAAAAGTATTCTTGTTCGTGGTTGAGTACTTCTCCTTTACATCTGCAACCCTTTGCAGCGTCTACACTTCCGAAGACAAATACAGACAATGTTAAAGCCAAAACACACCACATCCTACAAAACACACTTATTATCAAAACAAAATACATAAATTCAAAAATTTGAATCGGTCCTCATAAATTAAGTTGAGCAATCCTAGCACTGTCTTCAATAAAAGTACACAAAAAATAATGCCATTTCAATAATTCAACAATTATTTTTAATTGTTCCATTAACAACATCCGATTGTGTTAAGATATAAAAAAGTTAACTTTTGTCTCGTGTAAACAGGATGTGGTACGAATTACGAATACGAATACTTTATTAAACCAATTATTGGACCATATAGGGCATGTTACATATATAATGATTACAAATAGACATAAGTAAAGAGACGATAATGGTAATGCTTATGCTAATATGGATTTAACTATAGCAGTTGTTGTCTTATGGTAAAACATTTATAACACCTCAAAGCCACATTAATGCAGGTTACTTCTTGTTAACATGGAGAAAGCCAAATAAATCTGTTTTCTGTATTTATATTATTTAAATTATTACAAATTTTTAAAGCAGAAAGTAACATGTAGGATTTGTTTGAATGCTGGACATTTCATCAGAAAATGAACTTCATCTTCAATTGAATCTAAAGAACAAAATTTACAAATTCTTAAATCTTTGTCAATCTTTCTTTAACGATCCTACTCAATAGCTACATGTAATTTATGAGCACTAATTTTCATTTGTGTGAGGTGTTTTGTAGTTTCAAAATTCTTCACAACATCTAAATAAGTCTTTGTTTTGAAAATATCCTTAGATTTGAAATATTCGTAATTTACCCCTTTTTACTGTAGCCTTCTGTAAAAGATTATCTTTCCAAAATTGCATATACCTTTTAATTAAAACATCTTTAATATCATTAACATTGATATAATTAATTTCTAAATTGAGCTATTTTGCAATCAAAATATTAGAAGAATACCATGTTGTAAACTGTTCTGGTGTATATAAATGCTATCTGTAAGAGTTTGACCTAACAAATGACACTCATTCATGTCCGAAAAATTTAATAACTGAACAAATAATATCAATATATATGTGGTATGATTGCCAATGAGACAAATCTCCACCAGAGACCTACTGACAAAAAAGAACATTAATAGAAGATGTAGACAGCTCTCATAAACAAAAAACCCTAACTGCATCCACACAGCACGAGCAACAAACCCTGCATTTAATATTATGTTAATTGTCAATGAGACACCTCTCCATGAGAGACCAATTGATATAAAGAAATAGAACATTAATATTATAGAAAATGTAGATGTAGCAGTCTCTGATCCATTTAACATTTAATGAACACAAGCATATCAAAGTCATACAAAACTTCAAATTAAAAAAAAATAAATATGTTTTATATACTTGAATGGCTATGTTTTACTATAACGTGTGCACAAACTTTCTTTTAAATGAAGATCCTTTGTCTTATCAAAATCTTCAGAAATGTGCTACTATTGAATTATTGTCTTCCCGTACTCCAATTCTCCGATAGCTTTTCCGTATGCAGTGACCTTAACCACGTCCTCTCCATAGAACTTCAGCAACCGCACAGCGCAAATTCGAGGGGAAACCGTGATTAAAAGATTAAAAGATTGTAATTAAAAGTGCTCTGGAAGGTACATAGAGTTATTTGATTCTTAAAGAACAATAAAATAAACATTCCACATTCCATGTTTATTATCTCACTTATTTTTCACGTGCTGAACGATTATTTGTTGATTGTTCATTAAGTCACGTTCGTTAAACTTCGGCAAAAAACATAAAAGTTAATAAGCAGGGAAATTTTTTTCCGAATGAAATATTTTTATCGATAATTCATGTATGTTATAGATTAGTAATAATTATAAAAAAAAAACGTGCATAGAGAACATAGTTTAGTATATATATATACATGCATTGGTTCAATACTTTCCTTAACATTATAACTCAAGAAACTCGTTTCATATGACTTTAAAAATTAAGATTTTGCAATATTAATTTTTATTGCAAATAGTACATTTTATTTTAGTGTAAACTTAGATAAATCTAGTGCTGAATCACACGGAGCAAGCTCCTTTTCCTAGACATAAAGGATTCAATCAAAACAAATGTTTAAATATTTGATGGTTAAACATGTCAAATTCAGATTGAACATTACCGGCTTACACAAAATAATTGAAGGCTGTTATGAGTGTGGTCGGATTTTGAAAAAAACATCCAATTCATTATTTATTCTACTAAACCTTTCGCCACATGTTCTTTCATTTGCTAGGTACATGCGTCGCAGAACATGAAAGCTGACATACAAAGCACGTGCTCTTACATTTTCAGCACGAAGTTTACAGACCAAGATCGGGAATAATTTGATTTTGACGATATAGTATCGAAAAAGTAATTTCATTTTTGATTTTTTTTAAATATGTTGCTAACCTTGTGTTATGTAAATATTACAGATTTATGCTATTACTATTTTAAATTAAGGAATATATGTCCCTCATGCAAAGATCTGATTCCTTTTCCGGCTTTGGCTATACTGTAGGTCCTTTTTAACTTATAAGCTTTTCATTTTTAAAAAAAACATTTACTAAATAAAATTATTAAATAAGTTTTTGATTTTTAAATTTTTTGGCCTCGAGTATCACTGAAAAGACGTTTATTGTCGAAATGCGCATCTGGTGCAGAAAAAAATGATACCATTAAAATAATAATTATTATAAAATTATTTTAAAACAGTTTATTGTGAAATTATGAAAACTAGACTTTTATGATCACATTAGCATTGCATACAGTTGAAGAACAGAATGAAATTATGTACACTTACCTGATATCTTTCTGGTTTTTAGAATACAATTTTGAAACTTGCACTTCTATATATAGCTAATTGCGCAGATTTAATTGATCAAAACAAACCACAAAGTTTATGAATAACAAAACAAACTAATTTATCATATCAAATTAATTTGTCCTTAATTTTTTTTTAATGTAGACGAACTTATTATTTTTTGGTTTTCCCGAAGTTGCGTCAGATGAAGTTAATAAAAAATAACAAAAATTACTAAAATTACATTATTTTGACATTTACAATTTATATATATTAATATATAAATATCAATTTAGTATTCTGAAAGCATTAAATTTAGATAAACGATAGTTTTTGCAATATTGAACAACAGTGATTTAAAAATTAAGTAAAAGTAAAATAAATTGATTTTATGTACATCCGTTTCTCTATGTGAACCAAATTTTCGCCAAGAAACTGAATCATGGTTTTCTATTATCAGCTTTGAAACTGAATCAGTTTTGGTCATACGTTCCGTGTGACGTGTCTCAATTTAGAATTTCAAATGTGGTCTTTATCTTTAAAAATTGAAAGTTAATTTTTTATAAAGGTCAAATATTTCAATTTAAAATAAAAAGTTTTAAGCTTTTGAAAAAAGAGGCGAAAGATACCAAAATGGATATTTAAACTCATAAGTCGAAAACAAACTTCATGGCTTAAAAACGAAAAACGAAAACGAACGAACAAAAAAGATAAACAACAGTATACAAAACACAACATAGAAAATTAAAGACTGAACAACAGGAACCCCAACAAAAAACCGGGGGTTAACGCAGGTGTTCCGGGAGGGTAAGATGTGCTCTACATGTGGCATCCGTCGTGTTGCTCATGTAGGTACAAACCCGGTGATAAGTCTAATTTGGTAGGTCACATTTGAGGAAAAGAGGACGGGATTATGGTTACGACAATTGAAACATATCCGTAGTCATCTGTGAAAGATATTCAATAACGGTCAACCAACTCGTGATGGCGTCCGTAAAATTTTTGAAGAGATGATTTCAACTTTACCACTTGGAACTCTTAGTTTAATAGCTTCATTGTTAACAGAATCCTCTATCATGCCATGATAGAAAATACAAGCTCTGGAATATCGTATCAACAGGGAGATATATACTCCATATACAAGCGCTGCTGGAATGTTGCTACATAGAAATGGAAAATTCACTGTTGGGAAGCTGAAATTATCTCTTTTGTCGTAGAGTTTTGTTCTCAACCGACCCTCATTGTCAATTTCTAGATGTAAGTCAAGATATATGACAGACTTAAATGTATCTGTTGTATCCTTTATTTCAAGTTCGATGGATAGATGCGTTCAATATAGTCACCAAACTTTGATTATTTATTGAGAGGACATCATCTATATACCGGAATGTGAAGTTAAAAGATAATATGCTAGCTTTTTTGCATTCTTCATAAGTAGATCATGTATAAATTTAAGTCGACCTCATATGAATAAAGGAATAAGTCGGCAAGAAGAGGAGTACAGTTGGTTTCCATGGGAATGCTAATTGATTGTTTAAAAACATGTCCTCCAAACGTAACAAATAAGTTGTCAATCAAGATATCCAGCATCTTGATAATGTCAGATATGCAAGTTGGATATTTTAGCTAAAAAGTCAGAAAGAAACCCCGAAAAAAACTATCTAAAATTAAAAACCGATTGACATTTCAAATAATTATATGACATCTTTTTCTTATTTGATGTAATCAAGATTTTAAGAATTGTCTTGTGTGGCAAAAATAAAAAGGAAAAGAAGGAGGTTTGGAGTCCGGTGCTTTGCATTTGTGACAATAGTCATTTCATTTGCGCCACAAACCATAATTCATTTACACCAACACAAAACATTTCATTTGCGCCAAAATAAACATTTCATTTGCGCCAAAATAAAACATTTCATTTGCGCCAATAATACAGGTAAATAAAATAGATAATATATATATATATATAAAAAGACCTTATATTATAGTTTATAATAAGTTACAACTTAGTTTTGAAAGCATAATAAAACATATTTATCATAAATCACATTCACCATACACATTTTAAAACCACGATAAAATCACTCAACACGGATTAGTTTTTTTTTAAATGCTCAGAGATTCTATTTTCTCGTCTAAAACGTGGTTGACTGCTTTCATTCAATGTGTGTTATTCTGGTTTTGCAACGTTTTGGGACTATAGGTATGATAATAACAAAATACAGACGTACTACCTCTATTTGTCTCCGACTGATTTATGTCTATCTTGTCACATCGAACATGTGAACATTTTAAACTTATAAGTGGCTCTCACTTTTGTATGAGAAATAAGTATGAACTCACTTACTTATTCAGTGGGAAAGTGGGATACTCTATAAAATGTTTTATACGAGCCTCGTATTCATGATACAACTTATATTGAAATATTTCTGTTATATTTCAACTGTTAAGTGTAAAGCAGTATTTATTTTTTGGCGCAAATGAAATGTAACCTTGTGGCGCAAATAAAATACTGCATTTTTTTTAATATATTATCGCAAACGCAATACGCTTCTGAAGTTGTATGACAAAATTACAATATGTGGATTTCGTTTACCGAACGGACTCTCTCGCGATGTTGGTTCGCATGGCGGTTGATGGATGCATAACAGGTGACGCCAACCCTGTAGACACAAACTATATTGCTCCGTTGGAGTTCATGTGATCTCATATGTATTTTGATTGTAACTTTGATTTGTATCTTCTTTCTGGATTTATGAGAATTGGTAAACTACTGGTGCCTCTTGTTTATCCCTGACCTATCATAAAAATAAAACAATTCCGATCCATTTCCCATGTTTAATATTTTTGTACATCACGCTTGGTTTGCAGGGAAAAAAATTTCAAAGAAGTAAGGTTTTATCATTTGTTCCTTTATTTGCACTGCGCTTTGCAAGGATTTACTTTAATATCCTCTGTTTTATTCTTGTGGCCGTTTCGTCTCCAGTGCTGACTTGAACTTTCATTGATACAGACATTTCTGTAAAATTACTGTTCATAGAATGTTAAAAATATTCCAAGCACTAAGATTTTTCAAATCCCTGTTTTACTTGACCCTTTGAAAATGTTACAGTGGAATTACATTTTTTGGAATTGTTGGTTTTCAGTACTCTTCAACAGTTATTGATTTCACCTTGTAATTTTTAAGTTCGAACATCGATGTGACCTTGTAATTGTTTAGTTCGAACATCGATGATGACTGTGATGTATACGGTTGAATTGTTTTTTTTTTATATAATATTTAAATGTATGCACTTTTGAATAAACAGTTGAACCATTTAAAATAAAAAAACGTGGATTTCTGGTTCGAAATTTTTTGTCGATAAACAACCTGATTTTTGGGGTGTAAAAAAAGAGACGCAGCTTTTTTTAATCGAATTAATTATGACGTTTCCATATCATAAAAACACCTGCTCGGTTTAAACATTTTTTCTTAAGCATACTATATTCAAATGTATAAGACATCCAGAAATTATGATGTTGAGTGTATTAAAGAAAGTGTAAAACTTGCTTCGAGAAAGCGTGTCGTGCACTTTGAAATATCTATCATACGTTTTACAAATTTTTTGTACCATTCCAAACAGCAATGTATGCCCTCTATTTGTTCAGAAAAAAACCAAGTTAGCTTGTCAGGTTAAGTAATCATTATCATGTAGCATTTTTATGGATGGGTTGATCATGGTTTTACAGCACGTCAAACCTCCCTCGTGCTTGGAAGTCATCGGTTGAAATCAATTATGTATTTCGTTGTGAGTCAATTTATAAATGTTTTGGGGACTTTCGATTTTACCCCAAATTAATAAATTACAATTTTATTGTGTTACAAAGGTGTACATCATCACAAATACATTCGCTATTGAGTCTCCAAAACAACAATAAAAAGATCAATAAAAGACATTTAGAAGTCGAAATACGGCTCAAAGTATTCACACATCTTTTATAAGAGGCATATTATCCTACACTATAGTATCAACATTGCACTTCTGGACAGATTTCATATAGGAACGTTATAAACAGTTCAGGGAACGAGGTCCTACAGATATACAATGCCAAAAGTTTTTCATACAAAAATCTATTGTGTCTTGTTAAAAAGTTTAATTAAGCAAATCTTTTTTTTTCGGAAAAATAGATTTGGCAATGATTTGCTGTTTTAATGGTTATTTTCCAAATTCAAAATCTTAACACAGATGAATGAGTCTACAGTAATCACGAGTCCATCCTTGAGAAGTCATTTTCAGCTTTGCAAGCAATGAGTTGAGAAAACGAATTATCTATTCAAATGTGGAATTAGCGCTTCTTTGCGCATGTACATAACATACGCCTGTACAATGACTTATTGTTGCAGTGGACATCTTTTCAGAACCCCTCCCCCCCAAAAAAAAAATAAAAATGATCATGTATGTTTCGAAAGGAATTTACAAAATTAAAAACTTCAATAATCAGGCTTCTTATAACTACGAAATAATATATACAATACTTCTGTTGGATGTGATTTGAAAAAAAAGTCGAGTAAATTTTTACAAATATTTGTATCTATGCGAACAGGTACAACAAGGTCTCATAAAACTTCGGTACTGACATGATTTATAACAAACTTTTCTAAAATTGCCCGTTTATAAATTTTGAAATTATAAAGAAACTAAGGTTTCAACTCCCTCAGGCAAAGTTGACCTTAGATGGATTTGGCTATTTGTTTTAGGTATTTTTGTCATATAGCTCTTCAACTGTTTCGGTACTTATACATCCCTCGGATTTCAAATGTTTGGCTTTGAGCGTTCCTGATGAAGGTAAATCCAGAAAAGCGCTTCGGACGCATGAAATTATTAAACGTGTTGTTTTCAATTTTTTAATACAGAGGTTTTCATTCTTGTAACGTAAATACATCATTACCTTTAAAAATATTAGTAAGCCAGTAGTTTAATTCTTGCACTTTTATTCATTGTTATTTCCATTGGTATTCCTATCAGTAATGTGTATACACTATATAATTTACACTTGAGGGATGCATTATCGTCGTGACAGATTGCAAGATTAATCACTGGCGTCAAACAAATGTTTTCCCACGCCTTTTTGCATATTGAACGAATGTTAAGTTTACTTTGCAACCTTATTGTTACTATTTCGTGTCCGTTGTCCATGGACTAAGATATGAAGCAATATTTACTGAAATCATAGTCAAATTGAAACTTGACCCGGCAAGAGGATTTCCCTACTCTTTAATTTCAGCAGTATGTGCAATGTGGCAAGAAAACAATACGGCTATTATTACTAAAAAGTCGGATATAGGGATACAATAAACATAACACAATCTATTATGGCTTCCTTTTTTATTTTAAGATATATAACTGTATCTATTGATAATTGGTTATTGGTGTTTCAGGCCACTTTTAGCATTATCGGCAATTACGTGGTGGTCAATTTTTATTGGTGGAGGAATCCGGAGTGACTGGAGAAAACCACCGACCTTTAAGAAGAAAACTAGCAATCCTAGTCGCATAAGATTGGAGTTGAACACACTTGCCACGTACGGGGTTCAAAGTCATTAAATTGTAAAAATTAAACGTTTTAATGGAGGTGGGTGGTAGTAAACAAATACAATCGCATTGCTTTTTGTTTGCAAATGATAGATACGTCCTGACTGATTCTATGTTCTCACCTCATTATAAGATAACCCATCAATTAAAATTAAGAGGTGTCAGAAATCCAAAAGTAAATATGCAAATAAAACAATTATAAACGGACAACAACTAGTAACAACTAATTAATGAACTGACATGAAATATTTTTTAGGGACAATTAAAAACCTCAAAGCAACGTATTACCAAAACGACATGGTGAAAGGGAAAAGAAAAAGACAACTGACACTCCACAGAACCTTGCACACACGAACGAATTTTATTTGAACAACATGATTTCCTACAAAAACCGGGGGTGGGAAGCTCATGTGAACAAGAGTGAACAATCCATGCTTCACTAGTTGCAACACTATTGAGTATAAAAAGCACAAGTTTGTATTTTTGACACACATACTAGTAACAATGTAAGAATATCTAGATATGATTTTATTTTACAAAAGTTATATGTAATGAGGAAATGCATGGAATTAATGCGTCAAAAACATTTTAATTATTTTTAAAAATTTATTAGAAATAAAGAGCTGACCCTGTACTTTGATTTAGCATAAACATAGATATAAATTATATTGCTTTAATACCGTTACACATCTCAATAATTCTTGTCAGTAACAAGTTTACGTATGGGTTTGATTAAATTGGTTTTCTTAGAATGCGAAATCTATTGTGTATCGCCTGTAAGAAGGTAAAAAATCTACACCGTAAACAATCTGCGTAGACTCGATATGTTCAAGTAAGCTTTATACCCGATATCCTTATAAACAGTGTTATAGTTTTAATGCTTTGAAGTGATTTTTATATATCTTAACATTTAACAATTTACCTAAATTGGACTTGTACAATGTATTTATGAATACAATACAATAAATAAATCATTAACATTAACATAAAACTACATAAATCACTTTAGTATACCGAATAATTTTGTTGATTTCCGACAAAACAGGTAAAGTTTTAATCAAATCATTCAAAAGATATATTTAAAGATAATAGTGTCCAAGTTCCATCTAGGATCAGGTTTTTAGATTACCGAACCTTTCGACTTTCTGGGTACTGTTCTACTCTTTAACAAAAAGACACCCCATAGTAGAAACATGATAACAATTAATGATGATCCAATCGATATTCCAATTACAAATCCGATACCGATTCTTTTATCGTCGTCTATAGCCTCTGTTTTTTGGAACCACACCTGATCGGTGAGAACAGACACGGTTACAATATTTGACAGGTCACCAGTGTTATTTGCTTTATCTATAACTCTTACGGTTAAAAAGTATGTTATATTTGTTGTTATGTTTGGTATTTGAAACACATATGTTTCCAGTTCTCCAGCTTCCTTGGGTACCAGTTCGCTAGTCAAACTATTTTGATTGTCTGGGTCAGATTTCAAATCGGAGTAATTGGTTGAAAATCGTATATCATATTTAAAAGCTGAAAACGAAATGAAAATTCAATGTTAACATAAGCGTCAAAACAACGTGAAATACTTATACATGTATTTCATCTTCGTATTGCACTATTTACGTGCCTTTCAAATTTCAAAATATTTTTTGACATTTTGAACGGACTCGGAATTAGAAATGCAGATCAGCTACATGTATGCACTTTCTTTTGTGTATGTTAATGCAGTTCCTCATGAGATGATACGCATTGTCATTATTATTATGCATCATCATTCGGTTATTAAATTTGAAGGTTATACACCGATATTCAGTCAATATGACTTCTATATAAAAATAAGGAGATGTGGTATGATTGCCAAATTCGAAAGCAAAACAGTTAGATGGCCAAATCAATTACATAGTTTAAGAGCATTGAAAAAAAATACGAACAGTTGTGCCAAAACTCGTGTGAGACAATATATTCCAGAAATAGGTTCATACCGGTAATCATGTCAAATACACATTAATTGCTATGCGGGGTCTTTGACAGATGAATTGAAGAATTGCGATACTGTGAGAATCAAACGAGTGATATTGACAACTGTAACCTTATGAAATGATAATTTAAGTCGTTAGTAAAAGTGCAGTAAAAAATCATCCTCTAGCATATGTATCAACTAAAATATGTAAATGATAAAGGCTGCGAAAGACAGTATGTCAGTCCTCAAGAATGGGAAATCTGAAATCATCTCGTTTTTCGGAGATCATTGTACATGTAATTATTATATTTGTAGTTCAGCAGCAGCAATTTTTTTGAAAAAGATAGAGATATAATATTAACGGTACCAATTTTACAGCACCAGGTGCGCATTTCGACAATCAATGTCACTTCAGTGATGCTCTAGACCAAAATAATGTGGGTTTATTATTATTCGTGCGGTACTAATTTTGGTGGATTTCGTGGGTATAGGTGAACCATCAATTTAAATATTGAAAAAAAGTATTCTAAATAAGTCTGTTCACAGAGATAAATATGACAAACTAAGTCTGTTGATTTTAAGTCAAACTTAAAACGCAATACTTATTACATAGGAAAACATGACAAATGAAACACGACCAACCTCACATTATATTCTTTAAGAAACATATTCTAATTTCAGTGGTACATTAATCTGATTCATAATAGAATAGCATGGTCAGTGCTGCAAGCAGATCTTTTAATTTTCAAGATAAAATTAGAAATATGAAGCAACCGAAGGCTGATTATACCAAAATAAAATATTTCTTAATTATAAGGGAAAAGACGGGATCAAAATTAATATGTAAATGACACCTAAACCACCATATTTTTAATTTAAATTACCGTTTTCATTTCATTGTCCTTTGTTGATGATATAAAGCACATCAAAGTCAATGTAAAAGTTTTACCCTAAAATCGCAGTTGAAAAATCCAGTTCTATAGCTCATATTTCATATTTGAATTCAGAAAAAAAGAGACAGAAGATACCAAAGAGACATTAAAAATCATACTTTGAAGAAAAACATACAACAGCATGCAAAAAACCCGAATCTACTAACAATAGTCTACAAAACACTGATCAGGGCGTGTAATCAGATCCTGTTCCACGAATGACACCCATCATATTGATCATGGAAAGGAAAATGTCGCTTCGGCTAACGTTTGATTTATGGATTTGAAGTTCGAAATTGACGAATCTGAATTTGAATCATGGATAAAGGATAAAGATCTAGAGTTATATTAGGGGGAAAAAATAAGAATTTCGAAAAAGGAATTCAAAATACAAAAATTCCTTCAAATAACACTATTTCAAATACTACTTTAATCATTTTTGGGTCTGTCGAACCTATTGTGTCTGTGAATCTCATTGTAAACCTGGTATTTGTGATGAGTTTTATGTATTTTTCGTACAGAAAGCAAAGTTATACACCGTTACAAGTTACATTTGTCTGTAAATACAGTAGTGCATCTTTATGAGATTAAGCGTACACCATCTCGAGCGAAATCCAAATTTGCAATAGTGCCTTTGATTTATAAATGCATACCTTTACCAATGTCAAAATCATCTCCAACGGCCTTCCATGACAACATAAAGGTGTTGTTGTTGTTCCTGGTATCACTTAGTTTTAATGTTAGAATAGGAGAAGGGGGAATAACATCCACATAATTTTCTGGTGCAACATACACATATTCTTGTACGACTATCTCTTTAGCCAAGGAAACCCTCATAAATGAGCCTACTGTTTCCTCTTCCAATTTGTCTATAAAATGTTAAAACAAGTAATGTCAATTACAACATAGTTAATTAAGAATCTTACATTGAACAAGCCGAGAACGCTACCTTTTATGGGAATGCATATATATACACAAAAATGTTCCATTTGAAACATTTTTTGTTTACATACCTGTAACACATATGGTCACCAATTGACCAAATGAGTGGATAAGTAGAAAAGCATCACGGAAATTTTTGCATAGTTATAAAACGTGTCAGTTTTATAGCATAAAGACAACTGTTCAATCTCTTAGAAAAATATTTGATGCACTTTTTTTATTTTAGCTGAATAGATGCAGAATACTCATCATATACTATCAGTTCTATGCTCAGATGATGCTAATTTTGTTTTATCATGAGAAAACTGCATTTAAATGTATAAGGGGCAATACATGTAGTTTTGTTGTACTTCACCAAGTCTATCATGTCTCTATTAAGTTATAGAGTTTATGCTACGTTTTGAAATATTTACAGAATGAACTCCTAGTTTTTCTAGACATCTGGTCATAATTCAGACACAGTCATCACAATTTAAACTAAGTTATGTCTATTTTGAGAATACTTTATTTCAAAGACAAGTACGTGATTACGAACTTGTATATCTTGATACACAACATTTCCTTGAATTGAATTTGATCAACAGAATGTGTATGGAGAGGTTAAGGCTTTAAAACTTTCTATGTGTGTATGCCTGTAAAGAATTGACATACAGTTTCAAACACTTATCAAAGATACTAGTTATCATAATTTAGTACGTCAGACGTGCGTTTAATACGACTTATCAGTGATACTCAAGAAAAGTTGAAAATTTAAATCAATTAGGATTTTGTGGGAGAGGATTGAAAAGGAAAATTCCTAAAAAGGTATACCAAATCTTGCTTATGTCATCTATGCATAGAAAGCCTTTAGCAATTATATATGATTTGAACATTTTATAAACACTAAATTGATAAAAAATATACTGCATCAATGATATTATATGGCAGAACACGTTTTTTTGGTACCATCGGGGACAAAACGTCCACTAATAATGACATCGATGAAACTGATTGAAATCGAATTTCATGTTTGTTTATATTCCTAATTAATAAGCTCTGACTGTCACCCTTCTTTGAAAATATTTAGGACAAGTTATGTGCTAAGAAGCGGGTTTTTATGACTCATTCTTAATAAATGACAGGTTAATAAAATGTCAATGAGACAACATCCATCAATTAATCTGAGTACGGAGCCTTATAAATTATGTTTGACGTTTACTTTAACACGCATAAACTAAAAATGTTTGATTTTGAGATTTCGGGAACAGGTTAATTTTGTCAATCTTGATTTACGTGTCATTTTGAGATTGTTAACACATACAAGTAGAAACCCATAAAGCTCTGTCCATTTATCGAATTTGTCCAACTTTATAAAAAGTGTATACGATTTAAGTACTAGTATGCAACTGTATTGCATTGTCACCAATCTATTGGTGTTGACATGTAAATGTTTCATTTTAAACTAGTCTGATATGATTAGATAAATGGTTGAGAATTGTATAATGTAGACGTCACAAATAATTTGATATCATTTGAATAAAAACCATGTGTAGTATGCGCATCTGGTGCATTAAAATTGTAACCGTTTATGTTATGACTATCACTGGGTAGATAAGTCCCCGAGGTTATCATCGAGGTAAAAATAGGAATATATAAAATGTTTGAAATTATTTTTAATTAAGGATAATATCTACCCCATGCAAGAGGGTCGTAATGGGGGTACCTTCATGACAAATAACGGTAAAAAAATCTTGCCAAATGACGTTAACGGTAATTTTTGGTGCATGACGATAAAATGTACACTTTCTTTAAGACGATAAAAAAAATCGACTGATTTTGACAAATCACGTTAAATTTTTTTCAAAAATAACGGTAACGATAATTATTTGAGACCTCTGACGAATCACGATAAGGATATTTTGACGAATCACGGTAAAACTTTAACCAATTTGACGCTAACGGTAGCCGTGAATGATCGTTTGACGCCTGATGGTAAAGGGCATTCCTACCCCTTATGCAAAGTTCTGATTCCTTGTCCGGATTTGGCTATACTTTAAGTCCTTTTTTGTTTGATCCGATCTTCAAAAAAGTGTATTAGATTTTGAATATTCAAATATTTTGGTCTCGAGCATCACTGAAGAGACATTTATTGTCAAAATGCGCTTCTTGTGCATTAAAATTGGTAACGCTTATGTTTTTCTAATTAACTTTGCAACTTAATATCTCGCAGGGTGCAGTCCACATAAAAAAGGTGTCATAGATTTCAGACACATTATTATAACTTCTGTCTGAACAACCTTACTCGCAAGTATATACATTGCAATTACGCAGCAAATGGCAAATTATAAAGTCACTATCTTTATCCGGATTTGACCTTCAGCACTCAAAGCAAGCGCGATACAACAGAACACCGAAGAAAAAAGTAAAAGAAAATCTGTCATATTTTCTTCAAAAGCAAAAAAATGCATTTTACCCCTATGTTCCATTTTAGCCATAGTGGCTATGTTTCTTGACGTACAAGGAAATAAAATACAAAATTTATACTAGATACTCTGAAACTCATTCAGCCCAAGTTTGGCTGAAATTGATTCAGTAGTTTCAAAGGAAAAGATTTTTTAAAGTAATCAAACTAGATCAACAAATTGTGAAAAAATGTCTTTAAAGGACAATAACTCCTTAAGGGGTCAATTGACAATTTTGGTCATGTTAAACCTATTTGTAGATCTTACTTTGCTGAACATTTTTGCAGTTTACAGTTTACCTTTATCTATGATAATATTCAAGATAATAACCGAAAACTGCAAAATTTCCTTAAAATTACCAATTTAGTGGCAGCAACCCAACAATGGGTTGTTAGATTCATCTGTAAATTTCAGGGCTGATGGAACTTGACCTAAAGAATTTTTTTATCCCATGTCAGATTTACTCTAAATGCTTTAGTTTTTGAGATATAAACCAAAACTGCATGTTATCCCTATGTTCTATGTTTAGCCATGGCGGCCATGTTTTTTGACGAAACAGAAAATAAAACACAAACTTTATTCTAGATACCTTAAAGAACATTCAGCTTAAGTTTGGTTGGAATTGGTTCAGTAGTTTCAGAGGAGAAGATGTTTGAAATAGTTTACACCGGACGGACGACGACGACGACGGACGCCAAGTGATGGCAAAAGCTCACTTTTCCTTTGGAAAGGTGAGCTAAAAATGAACTGATTTGATACATTAATAATAAAATAGGGGTTTCAGAAAAGCGATACAACTTATACATAAGATGTTTTTAACGTTAGTATCAAACTTGCAATGTATTTGTAATAGACAATGAAACATGTTTCAAATTGGATTATCTCGCGTTTACATTGATTGATTGATTGTTGGTTGCTAAACGTCCAGTGGCAAATATGTCATGCATATTCAGGACGAGAACAAATTAACAAAAAATACAATAGGTAGGTTCTGTAATAGGGGCTTCCGGGATTAAGGTCGGAAAAATTTATACTGCCACGGGAAATAATGGTATATTGGATAGGGACAGAAATTTAGCCTTGCAACAGGTCACCAACGGACCCCTCAAGGAGTTGTTGCAAGGGTTCTTTACGTGCAAAGAGCGTGGCACTCTCTTTACACGAGGCATCGGATTTAACGTCCCCATTCTGACCGGACTTGGCTGCAAATTTGTACATCCCCACTTTAGCAAGGGTTTTACTGCCGGTCGGAGGAAGACCAATGATGACCATACTTCTATTCCCCAGTCACCCTTGGGGGTCTCTCGCGTTTACAAGAACAAAATCTCGAATAAAAAGACACAAATGTAAAGTAAGTCCAATTACCCATTTCGTTAACATTATACATGTGTTGCTTCTCCGGACGTCTCTTTTAATAAGTAAAACGGTATAATTATGACAAATTGCAGAGACATAATAAATCTAATTCTATACATAATAAACAGAAACAGAAATAAATAAATTTATTTCAACACACACACACCTTCTTCAAAATCTTTGCCTGCAGACCTTGTTGATGGTACTAAGATAGTTGAATTGCGGCCTTCTGCTACAACTTTGATACTATGTCGTCCATTTGCAGTTATGTGATAAGGTAAAATGTAACCAGAGTAGATACCATCACCAGCCATGACATCGGCTCCTTTACAAATTAAAGAACATAAATGATGAGCGACATTTTGTATACGACTTATATATCTTTTTTTTTTAAACAAAATAGGTTCTCCCGAAACAAGGACAAAATATTTTGCATTTATTATTTCAAAACATTCTCCGAAAATGACTTAATCAACATTCTTGATTTCGCTGATTGACAACATATTAGATAATGTTACATTAAGAGGGCGTGTTTCCATAGACATTTTTCCGATTGAGACGTCCCAAAAGAGACATATTTTTAATTTTTAATGAGTAACACGACTAATGACACTAGTTGAGCAGGAAATGCTTATATTTCCTGAAGACCTGAGTTTACCCCCGGATTTTGTAGGGTTTGTGTTGCTAAATATATGTGTTGTGGTAGTACTTACGACTCGTTTTTTGTGTTTTCGTCGTTTTTATTTGTGGCTATGGTACTGACAGTTTCATTGGACTAGTGTTCCCTTGATATATTCCTCCTTTTTGTGAAAAAAACATTATGTTTCTACCTTGTATTTTTGCCTTTCCCAATTTTTGTCTATTCATATTAAATATTCAATACCAATTTCGTTGTCTTTTAATACCAATGATGATGTTTGACCATTTTCGTTTTCAATATAAGCCACGACAACAGTCTTCGCCACCGGAGCAGTTCCTTTATTAATTGACACAAATAATGGAAAGTGAACAGTAGAACTGTACTCGATCTTTGATTTTGTTGTCAGTACTTCTGTCTTGAGTACACTTCCATCAACATTCGCTGCTTTTGACAATATACTTATTGTACCGGCAACATCTGACATACTAGACATAACTGTAACCGTGTATTCTCCAGCCTATAAAAGTTTAAGTATTGACATTTTTTTTCAAAGTTATAAGAAAACTATAATGGAAAATGCGAATATAAAGTCGAATTCAGGCGTGTTTATTATGTTTTTTTGTAATTATTTTGGTATCTTTTTTTTTTTATCAAAATGTAGATTTTTTCGAGATTTGAACATCTACTGTAGCCTTAAATTTCGTTTAGTTGTATTAGGGAATCACTGCTACGTCATATGTATCGAGCCCGCACCACCTTTGAAACAAAACTTGATTCGTTCAATTCGAAAAAAAATTATACGAATTCAGTAGTCATTTTGTTAAATAAAGATACGTGTTATTTTGTGGAATAGCATTATTTACTTTTAAGACATAATTTCTTTGCACGTAGAAAATGTGTAAATAATTAATGACTTACAATTGCTATGTTAGGAATTTTCACAGATATAACGCCACTATCTGCCGATGTACCCACTGTGGTGTATAAATTTCCTTGATGATATACTGTAACGTTTACCCCTTCCAATCTGTTTGCAGTTAATTGAATCACGGTTTCCCGGCCAATTGACTCGTCAATAAAAAATGTGGTTTCGAAATTTTCATTTTGCTTTTGATGAATAGACAAAGAATTAATCTGTAAAAAATACATAAATTAAATGATTTACTATGAAAACACTAATAATAAAAAACAGCAATGAACTGATTGTCAAAATATGTATATTTTAACGTTTTGGTCGTGACTTTGTCATTGTCAAGTTTAGCTGAAGACTTAGAAATCTGCAGACGAAACAAATGAATATGATATTTTCGACATAGTTGAAGACATTGCTGACTTAATGTATAGTTAAGATTTATTCAAGTCTAGAATAGAAATTGTTGTACATCATGAAATTAAAACGAATTAAGAAAGAGCTTCTTCTACACAGGTGTCGATAAGGACTAGAAGCATGTTAATTTAATAGGCCCCACAAATTTTGCATGAAATAGCTTTTAAACATGAGATACATAACTTCAGTTTATGCGCTTTTTGTTTCCGTGATGATCAAACTCAAATTCCATGATCAATTTGAATTATCTATTTGTAATTTTTTTTAAGGGATAACCAATTTGAGTATTGTAGTTATCCGAGTTACAATTTAGAAGAGTTATTACAGGCCTATTGGTCTTATTGTTAATGAATAGTAATGTCCTTACATTTTTCAATTTTAATTCATTTACTTTTAATATGCGTTTTCAAAGTCTTCATATCTTATCAGTAGCAATCTTTTTTAACTGATGGGAATTAAGGTTTGTGTCTTAAAATGAAACGCAGTTTTGATGAAATTGATTTGTTTTATAAATTTGTTTTCGTATTTTTTTCTGACTTAACTTATTTTATGATACAGTTCATCCAAATCCAAATCAAAACATGATGCTACTTCCTAGACATGCTTAACGTTTTATGAAATTACGCTCTTCAGATAACGTCCCATTGAAAAGAAATTGATATAGGCTCAAATATTCAATTAGCCTACTGTTCCCCATGTGGCTGTGTGTCAAACTTCAGCTTTAGTATTTGTTAGCGATATATTCTTATTATTATAGAATTATGGCATAAAATTTACTCTTATAATCGGATCTTTAGCTGAATCAACAAATGGTTCTGTCAGTGCATCAATTAAAGCCGTTGAATTTTGAGTCGAAGTTGAATAAAAAAAGCTTGAACCGCCTGTTGTCTGAGAAACATCTGCAAGTTTGTCGTCAGCTGCATTTCCAATAGCTAAAGTGTCAACAATTATTCCTTTCTCTAATAAATCTGGAAGAACATCTGCGATCATCGGAGCCCTGTTTTCTTTACCATCAGTAGCCAAGTAAATTTTGGACCCTTTTACATCGGACAGCATGGATAATGTCTGAAATTATGTAATCAAACACATACATTTGCATTATTTATTTCAGAACTTTTTATTTAATAAAAAATACTTTAAAACAAATATTGAATTATCCTTGCGGCAACCTTTTTGTTATCTGATAACCTCAACAAGTCTTTAAAGTTAAAAGCAGTAATTGAACCCAATTGACAGACGAGTGATATAATTCCCCCTTGTTTGACAGCAAATTGATTCGCGACAACATCTTAGCACTACCTGAATATGAAGTATAGTTTCCTATTTATATTAAGTGAAATTGTGTTAACGTTGACAATTGTATTTTCTGACAAGATTGTTGCTTCTTATAAGGGATGACTCCAGCAACATTCCTTTAAGTTCACTTTAAAACTTAAATCTTCTTTTATCTATATATTAATGAAACTTTTATTGATATGAAATAATTACCTGACAACAAAGTTGCAGTCCTGCACCAATGGAAGTAGAACCACCAACTGATATAGGTAATAATGATGCAAGTTCTCCACGGTCCTCTTCAGATGCAATCAATGTCATACTTTTGATTAAAGTAGCACTGCTGCTGAATTTGACTATGCCAACATAACTATCATTGGGAAGAACATTTTGTACAACTGTGGCAAGGGCATTTCTTGCCTCTAGTATATAACCCTATGAAGTAAATACAAAATAAAATGATACTAGTAATCAGAATTTTACAGTAGATTTAATGTCCTGGATATGACATCCTCGTTACACTACCGCGTCTTTCTTTTTATCAAATATGCGTGACATTGCTTATTATATATAAATTGATCGTATTACAAAACAAATGTATGTAAACTGTTTTAACTGTTATCACACATACAATTTAAATGGCTGAACAGGTCCATTGAACGGTCATTATAATATTTCATGAACATATATTAAAGAAAATATAAACTAGTTTTACAAATTGTAAAGGTATAGAGCATCATTCTGATATTCTTATTTTCACTAAGTTTCAGGATAGTGCATGCAAACGGATACAGTACAAAAGAATGGTATAGTTTAAATTTCATTTATAATTAAGGTTTCCTGAAGTTGACCTTAGTTGGATTTGGCTATTCAGTTTAGGTCCCTTTTTGGTAATGTAGCTCCTTACGTTTCAAGTTCTTATTCATTCTTGGCTTTCAAGTTTTTGGGTTTTTAGCGTTCCTCATCAAGTTCAATCCAAAAGAGTACTATAAATTTAGAAATTATTGCGAGGGTTTTTATTAATGCGAATGATGCGAATAATGCGACTGGGTGAGTATCGCAATAATAAGTACTCGCATTCTGATATCTGATGCATATTTCTGTGTGCAGTTTTTCTTGAAATCGCAAAAAATTAATATCGCATTTATGTCCATTCTTCAAAAATCGCAATAATAAATGCACGCAATAATTTCAGAATTTACAGTACTTGGATGTTAGATGCTTCAACTTTATACAGATTGAAATTCATTAACTAAAAACTTACCGACATACTCCCAGACACGTCTATCAGTAAGCAAAATCTTCCGACGAAAGATGCCTGTTCAAGAAAAAACTCTGGCTTTGTGCTGGCAAAGGGAACTCCCGGGGATTTATCTATTGTACCAAACAGAAACAAATAAAAAACTTTCACTTATCGATTGTTATTTTAAAAGATATTTTATTTATATCATTATTTCTACCATTAGGTTACGAAATCTAGTGTTGAAAAAATCTTCTTTTACTTTTTGGCATTTCCTGTCACGCGATTCCAAAATCACATTCAGTGTTTTTTGTTAATATGAAACCATTGAAAATCGTAAATAATGCCTGGCTTTGTGCTGGCAAAGGGAACTCCCGGGGATTTATCTATTGTACCAAACAGAAACAAATAAAAAACTTTCACTTATCGATTGTTATTTTAAAAGATATTTTATTTATATTATTATTTCTACCATTAGGTTACGAAATCTAGTGTTGAAAAAATCTTCTTTTACTTTTTGGCATTTCCTGTCACGCGATTCCAAAATCACATTCAGTGTTTTTTGTTAATATGAAACCATTGAAAATCGTAAATAATGCCAAATTGACCAAGTAGAAATGTTTAATCTACGACAAAGCTAAAATCAATGTCACTATAGCTACTAAACTTTTTTTAGACACTATAAAAATCACCAATTCATGAGACTAGCGGAGAAATTGTGAGGCGATTAGATTTCAGTCGTTTTCTCTACACAATCTTGCTTGGAAAGTTCAAAGAACCATTTTGACAGTGAAATCTACGGGCTCTATAATAGCTTATCACATGAGATACGCAAACGTCTAAATCAGGTGTGAGAGATATGTTAATAAACAGGAATGGAGTGTTGGCAATAGGTAACTTGAAATCATTTGGTTTGTAAAAGATTCAAAAGTGCAAGAAATAGTAACGTAACATTATCATTTGTAAACCCAATTGCAATAATTATTAACTGATAATATTCTGTTAAGGTTTATGCTAGTGTTTCCGTCACGGTTAACACTAGTGTTGCCATCAGCTGTACATTAATTTCTTAGGTTTATATGAATTTCTCTTTTATTTTAATGCAGTCTAGAGGATAATTATTTGTTATTTTCTGCCATTAAAACAAAAGTTAACTTTATACAAATATTTTCTTCCCCGGAAGCTTTTGCAACGTAGAACTTACAGACAATCCTTTTTAGGATGTTATGTTTCAAAATCATATAGGAGGATTATTACTTACAAATATGATCATATTTACCATCAATACTTAAAGCCGTACGTCGACCTGTAGGTCTTAACATCATTATCCATTTATCAAAAGTTTTCTCATCGGCAATCGTTCCACATCTCCTTATAATTTTAAGTAAACGAGGATTTTAGATCAGGGAATTAGTGCCATTATGGTCTTTCTTCATATTTCTCATATAAAGACTATAGTGTTGAGCAAAGACTCTAAAAAAACATTCTAACATAACGGAACCTGCGTGTATCAGTTTTGACAGATGATTGACACACGTGTGCATCCGATAATTTTTTCTCGGAATACTGTATACCCATATATTTGATTTAAGAACTTACCAATGATTAGATAAGATATTTTTTCATATGAAAAACTAAACCAGTTAAAAGTTAAACTATGTCTCGATTATCCGCAATATCTTTCTTTATATTTGTTGACAAATGAATTAGTATGGCGCTGGATTGCGGTCATAAAAATTTCGATCACGATTATCGTACTCGGACTCAGAAATCAACCAATTAAAAAACTTGATTTGGTGTTTCGAGCACAGAGTTTTATAACCGCCAGCACTGATATTCTAAACAAGTAGCATAATGCAAAGAGTAATATTATAACTTCAGAGTAAAAAAAACATGTATGTCTTACTTTGGAAATCGTCATGTTGTCGCATAACTTCCCAAGCACTGCGCCCATTGCACCTTCTATTTTGATTGTTGGACGCCATACTGTTATGTCGCGTCGATGCATCAGCTGAATTGGCGCTATCGCAAAACTGAGATATCTGAAACATTGTGCACAAAAATATAGTAAGTTACACGTGACCAAAATAACTTCAATGATTGGTCTTTATTTCATTTCAATATGACCAAGACGAAACATTTAAAAATATGAAGATAACCACTTCTTGAATGTAAAAGTTTAGATCAAAATGGTTTCACAATGGCCTTCCTATATAAATGAAATGAGATGTATCCTTGGTATACCTGGATCAAACAACAACCCAGATATTACAAAACTGTTAGCTTTGCCTTAGTGATTAATCAGAAAGTTTCTGCCTTCCGTGGGTAAAAGCTATGGTTAAAGCAAATAACACTGATTACTCATTAGAAGACTTCTATTTGGCACCACAATTCACTTGTTTACCAAAGCGGTCCCTCTGTTATGGCTCCCATCACTATCCTCTAGTTTTCTTTTGGTTTTATGTTATTTGCCGTTAATAGAATTAAAAACAATTTTCTGTATGATTAGACAATTCGTGGTGTTATTCTACACTGTTGTATACACATTTGAAGAAACAATATTTATATAACATAGGAAAAATGTTATATTTAATAAATTCAAGAGGCAAGGTTTTTGCTCGCATTTGATTTTTCAATTTAGTTATTAGAATGGTATAAAGTGCGCTAGGACATCATATTATGTGGTTCTCCTAAATATGAATTAAAGTTCTCAACTCATTTAAAACTTCTGAGGAATGGAAGTACTAACTGCTGGAATGAAGGATGATCCCATTATAGATGCCACTGCATTTGTTGTGCCAACAGATTCTGGATAAAAATAACAATCTACTTCCGGATTGCCAGAAGAATCAAGTTTACACTGATCACCCGTTTTTCCATTGATTATTCGCCCTGTTATTTGAGTGGTACATCTACAAAAATATATGATATTGGCAAAAACAGATGTGCAAGTATAATGTTTCATGATTAAATACCTCAAAACTTATCTATTTTTACAAAATAAGCACAAAATTATACAAACCACTATTATGATGTTTTATACTATTAAGCATAAATTCAAAATCACTATATATTCAAAAAAATTTGTCAATTTCCACATCTTTCTAAATATTTTACTTTAAGTTTAACTTTATAGAAACTAGGTATATCCTGAATTGTACATGTATCAAATTTCTACATGCCAATTTTCAACCAATGTTTAAAGTTTTGAAGGGAAACACGACTGTTCGGAAGTTAAATACTACCAAAAATAACCCCTGGTTTTCTGGAAACCTTAAATAAGTAATAAGATATTTTTGATCAAGGAACTTACTATTCGTTCTGACTTGTATTAAAAGAAAAATGTAGCTTTTTTACGAAACATTTGTCTATTAATACGAAATGATTCAATCTTAATCGTATATTTTTTTTTCAATATCGTTGAAACAACTCTGTAGGATTGAATATACATTAAGTAGAAAGTCTTCATATCAATCAAATATATGATTTGCATATATATAGATATGCGATTGGTCCATAAGAATTTATTTCTTGGTTTTCACTTCGATAGACCATGTTGCCGAAAAAATCAAAATTAATGTTTGGGTACGGAATTGTTAGGATGAAACACACTTTTTCTAGAGATTATTGGTGTATATACAGGGCCGCTGACTCACAAACTTTACAAAAAGGCCTACGTAATTTTATTCAGTATAAAGGTTAATCGACCCAGTTTACACATAATTAACCTTTTAGAAAAAATGTGTTTAATTCTATAATAAAATACCAAAAATAAGAAAAAAAAGTTCATCACCATCAAATTTTTTATGAATTGTGGCGATTCATTTTCGTTCGTTATCAGAAAAATGATACAAACGAACATCTTTTCCAAACAATAACGACTTAAAAGTTCATTAATCTTGAGGGTCATATTGTACAAAGGAGAAGGTTCGATGGAACAGCATTTTATGTCCCTATTTAAACAATAAATAATTGCATATCTATACAAAAATAAATCTCTCAAGTGTGTTACCAGACATGAGTCTGTCATATATCAGTAGTTGTATTTTTGAATTGTTTCTTGTTTACAATGTAACTACAAAACGGCTGAAACATTCTCATTTTGATATATTGATATTCATTACAAAAGAGAAAATATCTGACCCAAGAATATATTTTGCTACTTAATGTTTTGATATGAGTAAAATATCTACATCAGTAATGCCGTTACTTTAGTTTTATCCATAACTATGTGTTTTATTGCAACTTTAAAGTCAAATGTGTCAATTTCAGGTTCATGTAATCACGATGACAGTAAAATTGATATTTCTGTACTTAAGTGTCCAGATTATACCATTCTTTTCATTTACGAATAAAACTAACATAATTCTAAACGAATTGGATTATTCTACTATTTTTCCATTTCAGAGGCAAATAATGGCACTTTTTTTTATATTTTTTATCATACTAACCTCTGTTTTATCATCAACCAGAGGTGATACGAAACGTTTTATCAACAATTAACACAATGAACACAATGGTGTTGACATGTAAACATTGAACATAAACGTTGTTTGAACTCGTTTTGTGTCTCCAATAATATCATCGGGCCAGGAAGAGCTCTGAGTGGGGCAGGGCATAACCAATCAGATCCAAAATGAGCTTTCCAAAGTTTCAACGATAGACAGATGTCTATGCAATATAGAGAGCTCTAAATCGTTCCGAATCTATAATAGTTGTGAATAGAATTAACAGAAACAAAGATCAGCCATTATCGGTCGTCTCACTGTCTGTATCACTCTGCTCTGTTTTAAATAAAATTGCATATCACGGCTTTGTGAAGTCAAATACGTTGACCCGTCTTTATAACTTTGACCCGGACATATCATCGACGTCATAATGAATGAACCGACGTTGATAAGTTTGACCTGAACTTATCAAGTCATCCGGTTTGCTGATGAAACACAGAAAACACTTGTTTCTATCATGCAAAATACGCAAATACAACCCGATAAATCGATTATCTGGTTGTCTGCATATTTATATTGTAAAATATCAGCTGCTCGACACAATATGAAGCATTTTTGAACTCGTTGGCTGCGCTCACCCGACAAAAAGCTGCATATTGTGACTCATAGCTGATATTTTACAATATCAATTTGCAGATAACCTGAAAATCGGTACTTAACACCCAATTATATTAATAGCAAAAAAATACAGATATGACAATCGAGGTACAGTCGTGTTTGCTCCCATTGAAATTGAAAAGGTTTTTTTTATAGAGATAAAGTGTTGTTTCGTCGCGATTTATTATCAAAACCGACAACATCCCTTGAAACCAAAGGTCGAGTGCAGTTTATAAATTCTATGGATAATGAATAATAAATACCTGACGGGTGCCCACTGACCATTGAAAAGGTCAAACCGAATAACATTTCCTGAACTGTCTCTGAGGGTTGGATATTCGTCAAATAAGCCCCATCTATAATGTCCCCATTCATGTACAAATACTGTTCCTGTAACAAATTTAATATTTCTGTTAATTGCAAAATGTTTGAACCTTAATTTCACACACAAACACACACGCATATATTGTGTTAGTCGATTGATGACTTACCTCGTCTGCCTTACCTAGGGTTGTAACACAGTAGCTAATATTTGGAGGCATGTTGCTGGAATATTAGATCAGTTGTTTTGTCAGTCGTAAATACTTACCATGCTGTCACACCAGTATATATATATATATTTTTGATAAATAAGGTAACTGTTTAACAATAATCATGGGTTTCGTATATGTAGAATATTTATGCTCTTCAACTTCGTAATTTATTTGGCGTTTTAAATTTTCTAATTCGAGCGTGCGTCTGGCGTACACAATTATAAGCCTGGTATCTGTGATGAGTTTAATGATCTTTATGCCGGCGTCACACATTGGCGTATAGACCGACGTGCATAAGACGTACAGAGAACATTGACTAAATCCATATACGTTAGGTGCACGCAAGTGAATGCAAGAGGAACGCTAAGCAATCGTTAGACGCGTGTTGCATAAGTTTGTGATACGTCGAAATGCAAAGGTATACGCTTGGTGAACGCTACATCTCCAGGAAATTTTTATGCAGCATAAAAATTTTCATCTAGCTCTAGCGTTTGTCAAGCGTTTACCTGTTCGCTACACGCACGTAATACATACGTTACAAGCGAATTGAAAAGCGCTACAGTTAAGTTTGGGACACGTTTAGGGCACGTTGTATACGCCTCAAGATCGTTCGACTTTTACTTGGACGTATGCGGGCCGTTGTTGTTACATACGCCTGGTGTAGTTACAGCGCTCCGTGAACGTATAAAACGCACCCGTGGCGGATCAAAAACGTATTCTGACATTCAACGAAACTTGCTCTGACATTTATAGTGGCATATGTTCGTTATACTAATTTGCATATCCAAGTGCATGTATAAAATGGTATAAAAGGTTGGGTAGTGTTCAGTTTGGCACTTGTTATAATAGATTGCATGGAGAGAGTCAGGAGGGCATATCTTCTAGCCATGGCTCTACAACATGTAGACCAAATTCACCTAACCATGCACCAATATTTACAAGGCAATAGAAGGCATAGAAGACGGCAGCGAAGACGTCTATTGCAGCAGCAGTGGGTATCGAGGAGAAAGCAGTTCGGGTTAAAGCAGTTTCAGCGATTTTATGAAAATGCCCATAGAGATGTACGATGAAATTCTTCAGAGGATCCATCATCGGGTTTCCAAACAATATACATGGTTCCGGTAGTTTTTTTGTTATGGCTTAAAAAACTTTCCATTTTCTGTCATTACGAATACAGTAAAATAATCAGTATGCAATAGTAGCGTCCGACTTTCTGATAATCGAGTCACGTCTTTAAATTATCAATAAGCAATTGCAAGCTGTAATTAAATATAAGTCACCAAGTACACAATATTGAATCTAGAAAAGTAAAAAATAAAATAAAATGGTATTACACATTGAAAGTAAACAATTATAATTTTAAGTTTAACTGTTCCCGTTTTGTATATTAAAAGAGAACCGATAGAGCCTGGGTTAAAACTAGCCGCAATTCTTTGACATATTGCTGCTGGATCGACATATGCCGATATAAAATTATCCTGGAGAGTTCCTGGTAACAACTTGTCAGATATTTCAGTAGTTGTCAGGGAAGTATGCAGTGCAATTATTGATGAATATACAGATGAGGTCATGACTCCTCCAAATGATCCAGAGGAATGGAAAGCAATTAATGATCAATTTATGCGCAGATAGAATTTTCCGCATTGCTGTGGAGCGTTGGATGGAAAGCATATTGCCATAAAGAAACCGGCTCGTTCAGATTCATAATACCACAACTATAAGGGAAGCTAGCTTTGGTTGATGGTGATTACAGGTTTATATTGGCAGATGTTAGAGGTAAGATATTTATATAATTTTATGTAAAAGTTCTTTAAAACGTTAGAAAAACTTACAAATTTTATTGCTTGTAATACTGTTTCAGAATCTAATATAACAAATTAGTAAATAAGCAAAGCGTCCAATCCATAAAACAAAGCGAAATCAAAGAGCAGCACAAACGAAGCAACAGATCCTAGTGTATATATTTATTGTGAACGAATCTGACGAAAACTCGAGAGTCGAAACACGTGTCATTCGTGGAAAAATTAGTTAACCTCGGTATCTTTGATGACATTTATTTTCACATACATGTAAGTCACTCAAGAATTAACATATGCATGTATACATTTGTAAATAGTTATCATGAAATTTCATATTTCTTCAAATATGAAACTTTTTGCGATAATTTCATATTATCCCTACATTTTAGGAAACGGTGTCTGTTCTGATGCTCAGATGTATGATGAGTCCGAATTTAGAGAAGCAGCGGAAGATGGAAGCATAGGCTTCCCAAATGCCAAGCCTCTTCCAAATGATACCGAAGACGTCCCTACTATTTCATTGGAGATGACGCATTTGCCCTTAGAACGATGATGATGAAACCCTACTCTCATAGGACAAAGGACATAGAAGATTGTATATTTAGTTATAGGCTATCGCGAGCAAGGCGTGTTGTGGAGAACGCGTTTGGTAATTTGGTCAACAGATTCAGAATTCTCCTCTCAACAATGGGTCATTCCCAATCAACAGTTCGTCTGATAGTGAAGACATGCATTATTCTACACAATCCTATGACGATTCGCTATCATGGGCTTCAGGACCAACAACTAGATTGAGAACACCCCATCAACAGGAATTTAATTCCAGGAGCTTGGAGGTAGGGACCGAATCTACAGGATACCCAAAGTGTTACAGCAGCTAATATTGACAGTAAAAAAGGAAAAACGCAGGAGAACCTTATCAAACACTGGATAAACTCTCCTGCTGGATCAGTTGCCTGGCAGGACAGAATGACATGAGACATGAATAATAATTGAAAAAATAAATTGATCACATCTGTAAAATGGTTTAATAAGTTATGTTTCCACTCACTGTCTTGGTTATAATTGAAAACATTCTTTCGTGCTTATTAATTCACCCATGTACACAGGAATAGTATGACTTCATGCACATCAATATTGCGATATATGGTGAAAGAAGAAAGTCTGCAGTGCAAAGTCTACACAAGAGTGGACAAGCTTAAAAGTCTCGCCTGCTTACTGGCATATCGGAATATAAAATTCTTAATTGATCACTGGAGCATGAAAACAAGGTCAAGTTTTAGTGAAATATGTCAGTCTGACATGTGCACCTACTGAGGAGTCTATAGACCAATTATCATAACTCTAGGTATTCTATGTACTGAGAAACTGACCTAATTACGAAAACTGGTCGCAGAATAGTCATACAACCATGCAAATGAGGTCAAGGATATCTGACATGTGACGGACAGAAAGCTTGTAACATAAGGCATCTATGGATGAAATATGGATGGTCTAGGTCTTCTTCCTTCTGAGTTATAAAGCTTTCACCAACTTGTTCACGCCTCCGCCGCCTTCGCCACCGTTAAAGCTATACATATGTCTCGCGAGACAAAAATCAAACTGGGAATCCAATCCATGATATATGTAAGGATTACGACAACACTCCAAAATCGATTAAGCGGAAAGTCCATAAATCAAAAGGCCATCCAAAGTCATATTGCTACACAAAGCTACCAATCGCATAAAATCAAATCCATATATATGCAAACACATTCCGATGACGACTTCCGGATATGAGCAGGAGGTACCAATATGAGGTAGAATATGATTTTGTGCGATTGATGGCTGTGTGTATATAGTCCCGCCGTTGAGCAAAATCAAAGTCACATTATTACAAAAATAACAAAAATACAACGAATCGAAATGGCAGACGGTAAAGTTTGCACATCTACATTTAATAACAATAAATGCTACCAAGTAAGAATGTAAGAATTCATCAAATAAATCAACCAGAACTGCATTAAACGGAAGTAGTACAAACACCTCATAATTAAACGCCCCAGACACGCCGAAAGCACGGATAATCGTCCCAGGTACGACCGGGACGCGTCTCAAATACGTTCAAGGGACGTTTTTCCTTCGTGGCGTGCATTTCATCTACGTTAGACAAACGCCAGACATACGCCAACATACGTTACTTCAACGCCCGCTAAACACTCTGTACGCTTCTCGTACACCCTTAACACGCTGAAAGCTCGTTGTGCACACGACACAGATATGATTGACAAGTTGAAAACGTCAAAAATTACAAGCGTATTGGCAGCTTACATGGTTTGTGACAACGTCCGGCGTACGTCGGTGCTATATGCTGATGTGTGACGCCGTTATGAGGCACTATACGCAAATTGTAGGAAACATAATTAATTTAACTCATTGTATAGCTGAAAACTGACTGAAAGGCTAAATACGACTTCTGAATCTCTTGTTGTGACTTTTCAAATCGTTATGTCAGAAATGAGACTCAATTTCTAAAACCAGTAGTATAATTCATAAATAGAGTCTTTAATATAATTATGCGAATATATTATAAAGATGAAATATCGTAAATAATAAACTATTGTTCTAATTGATTTCTTCTTAAGTCTTTTAAAATATAACTCCTATGACTGACTTAAGTAAAGAAATGCAGACTCTTGCACTTCACTTCTTCATAATTTAAATCCATGAAAACTGTAAGAGATTTTGAATACATCAAATTATAAAAAAAGTCAATTCCCAAGTTCGGAAAACTAATTACAAATTCCTCATTCAAATCCATAATAACAGGTGCAAAAATTCAACATGTGTGCAATAGTTCTGTAAAGTTTCATGGATCTGTATTGAAAACTGAAGAAAAATTTGATGATAACAAAGTAGTACCATACTTTGTTAATTTTGTTGAAAAATGAAGTTCCAAAGTTCGAAAAAAATGTAAATATATTTCTAAAGTAATTCGATAACAGCAGGTACACAACTTTAACATGACAGCAATATTTTTGTGGAGTTTCCGGGATTTTGGTTAAAAACTATAGAAATTTATTACGCAATAGAGCGACTCACCTATTCCCGCCCGCCCGAGGTCCACCCGTCTTACTGCCCATTCTCCGAAAAATACCATACTATATAAATAAACTCAACATAGATACCAAGTTTAAAATTTTGTACACTAGACGCTTCTTTCGTCTACAAAAGACTCATCAGTGCCGCTCGAATAAAAAAAGTAAAAAAGGCCAAATAAAGTACGAAGTTGACGAGCATCGAGGAACAAAAATTCCGAAAGGTTTTGTCAAATACAGCTAAGGTAATCTATTCCTGGGGTAGAAAATCCTTAGTATTTCGAAAAACACGAAAGTTTTGTAAACAGTCAATTGGACTTCGTCAAACCCGGTCAAAAACAAAAGGGAAAAAATAGAAAATGATTTTAAATCGTTTTTGTACCATGAAGGGTTGAAACTTAACAAACTTAACTCGAATTTTTGTAAAAGGGACAATAAAATTGAGAATGGAAATGGGGAATATGTCAAAGAGTCAACAACCCGACCAAAGAGCAGACAACAGCCGAAGGCCACCAATGGGTCTTCAACGTACACGTATGTAAACATTTTTTAGTTGTTTATTGAGATAATTTACTGCAAGAGTATCGCTCGATGTTTCATAGGTACACATACTAGAGGGTGTGGATGGGGGACCTCATTTTTGTATTCTTTATTTTTGTATGCCATTTTTCTCTATTCTTTATAAATTTTGCCTATTATTTTCCATTCTTTATATTTTAGCACCCCGTTATTCTCTATTCTTTATTTTTTTGGCCTATTTTTCTCTATTCTTTTTTTTTTAACCCTTTATTCTGAACATTTTGCCCATACTTCTCTATTCTGTAAACCCCATCCAGACCCTCAAGTTTACCTATATTTCCGTAATTTCCATTATTTCCTTGGTTTAATACATCAGTTGTGAAGTGGATGTATTGCCCACTGAGTCCACAACCCGGTAAACCATGTACAAACGGGTTGTTTCTATCCCCAGTCTTGACGTCAGCAATGCGTATGACACCCTCTTTGTTCGATGATATACTTGTCAAATTGTATTGACCACTATTTGACCACGACTCTGGAACACGAATTGTTACTTCTTTAAGATACACGTTATATTTAGAAGCAATATACAGCTTTTGTGAGGCCTCAGTGAGCCAGTCCTGAAAATAAATAATCAACCGGTTTAGCCATATAATTGCTTCTGTTCTGTTGTGTTTTGTTCTTATTTATTGTTTAACTACAATAAATTCTTTCTTTATTTAATTTGGCCACATTCTGTAGAAGTATTTAATTTTGATTTCTACCATGTACGTACAAAGTATATGTTACATATTCATAAATATTTCTTAGCGACGTCGCAAGATACTGTGTCACTTACCGTAACACGCTTACGCCGTTTTATTTCAGATTTCAAGCAGAGCATTTATTTTACGTTTCTTTCTCTTATGATTTCATTTTTTACAGGCTTTTGGTTATGATCTACAATGTAATCATAGAGACTTTCTAAAGTGTCTTAACGTTTTGATTCTAGTAAAAAAAAAGTCATTATTTGCTTTAATTTCGGTACAGATATTTAAGCAACAGATGCAGCTGGTATAATGGCCGTTTTACTTGTTACAAGTTTGCATTTTAAGACAAACTCGTCAGTAAAGACGGAAACTAGAGAACCGACGGACACTCGAGATTTCAACGATGAAGCTGCTACTTCTATTTGTTCATCTTCCGGATCAGCTTCATTGCTTACCGACCTTCCCATCGTATGAATACGAATTATACAAACTTTGAATCGATTTAAACACATCGGCTGTTTCGACACAAACATCACATGTAAAACATGAAAATGGTTTTACAAGTGGGATCATTCTTTAAATTTTCCAAAGCTTAGGAAGTTTTTTGTAAGTCATTTATTTGTATAAACACCAGTGCGTTAATTATATTCACGTGTCGTTAAAATGACCCTCGGGACATTGGATCGGACACAACTGTTTATAGTTATCTTTTTCATTCTGTAGCTCACTATCAACATACATGTACCAATACTTACTTGAGCATTTGTACTTGTGCAAATTTGAATCATAAATCTTGTTGAATGCAAGTTTTCTGGCACTGAGAATACACATGTAATGCATCAACATACATTTTGTGTTAAGGTCAAGAAACAGTAAATGGGCTATGTCACAGATTTTGGTAAAATTTTGCATACAACCTTGGCTCGTTGAACTATAACTGAACATCGAAAAAACAATTCATTTAACGGAAATTTATGTATCAACAACATATAGTTTTCTTGTATAAGAAATTAGAGATTTGATGATTTTAAGACAAATTTAAGAAGGTTTTTCGCCGATTTTATGTGCTTTCTATACAAATGTTTACCTATTTTGAAAGAATTCAATCAGTAATATACCAGATGATAAAAGAGGCAAATGCATTATTTTTTCGATTTTCATTTATATGTCAACGAGCAAGAGTTGTACGCAAAATTTTACTAAAATCTGTGACATAGCCCATTTACTGTAACTTCACCTTAACGGGACAATTCTTTGGACATCTATATATTTTTCATACAAATTTCGTAACACGAGTTTCGTTTGAACAGTACATGTACAATTTTTTGGTATAAATACATCATACTTGCGTAAATTTTCTGAGTAGCAATGTTATCTTTAAATCGGATATAAGTTCTCAATAACATTAGCTTTAATTTCGCAATATAAACTAATACGGGACACACTTCATGTGTCATCTGATTCTCATATTTTTCGACTCTATACCAACCCGTGGTAAAATCACGATAAACTCAAGCCCCCATGAATCATTTCTTAAATAAAATCTGATGAAGTTCATTTTAAGATAAGACAAACAAAGCTAATCTACGTTTTATAACAATACCATTAAATGATAAAGAAGACAAATATAATTTTTTATTTAGTAAGGTGATGTTTATAAAAAATGTTTTTTCAGTGGAACACTCATTTCCTAATTTTAACCAGCTTGACTCAAACTCTAAACTTAAAACCATTTTGGATCCCAATAAAGATATTTTGTCTAATGTTGTGGGCTATAGTTGCGAAATGAGGCCCACATTGGTCAGTTATCTATATACTTATATATTATTCATTTTAAATTGACTTGTTTAGAGCTTTTTTCATGTATTGTATGTTTCTTGTGTGCATTTAACCCGTCAGGATTTTTACTTACTTCTATAAAGTACTATAAGGCTAAAATACAAAAGAGAACATTTTGTCTGGAGTTAAAGTTCCTATCCTATCCTTTAAAATCCTAGTGTAATGAATTCCACTTATTAGTAAAATATGAGACTTTACTGTGATGTCTTTCTATGTAACGAAATCTAAAACGTATGGTCACTTTACGGCCATGTCAAAGGAAGTGGTTAAAATACTGGCTCGTATAATAGTAAGAAAATTTCAAGAATATGGTCGTTTATAAATGAACTTTTACTGAATAAGTAAATATGTGCTATTTATTTTATAAAAATAAGGAGATGTGGTATCATTGCCAATGTGACAACTATCCACCAAAATTCAAATGAAGTGGATGTAAGCAATTATAGGCAACCGTACGGACTTCGACCTGCATGTTATTATGGAATACTGAAACTTTCTTCCTGAAACTAAACTCATATTTATAACGTTTTTACATGTATCCAACTTTTTGAATTTAGACCTTTAGTATCTCAATGCAAGTTGAACAGTGTTGTTACATATACACAGAATTAATGATTTTGGTATCATTGTAGCATTGCTCCAGAGAGGAGGTCAATTCTTCATAAGATCGTTCATTTTTCCAAAGTGAACATAAAATATACAATTGCCAATGGAATAAAAAAACTTATATGACATCTGCAGTACCAGTGCTCTTTTTTATATTTGTTCATTGTTTATATATTTATAGATTATCGTTGGTTATCTCAACGAGATTGATTTTCACGCTTGAGCCGGTACGGCGAAAGCGAGAAAAGCAATCGAGTTGAGATGACCAATGATAATCTGTTTATCGCTATTTTACCTATGAAGACGTTGTTAATTTCCTTGACAACGACACGTGTTCCCTTAGTTTCTAGCGATAATTTTCATATCACTCGACTCCGTTTTTAAAATGTCACTTGACTCCGCTGAGAACGGAAATTATCAGTCAGCAAGATCAAAGGAAAAATTCGTAAAATAGCGATAAATATATATAGTCGTGACTTTTATTTCATGCTTTGCTAATAATAAACAATCAAAAACTATAACGTGTTTGAACATGTTGATAAAAAAAAACAGGAGAGAGATATGCATAGTTAAAACAAAATAAAATCATAACTATCTCTCACTCTGTTCACGTTTACAAGTACCTTTGATCGGTATGCACAAGTCTATAAGTACTGGTCATTGGCATGAACACAATAAAATAAACAGTTGTGGTATAATTCCCAATGTGACAACTATCCAACAGAGTCCAAAATGACGTAGACTTGAGCAACCATGGGTCACCGTATGGTCTTCAACAATGAAGCACCAATTAAAGGCCCCGACATGACAAAATAGGAAAGAACTAGAACGCAAAAACAATAGCTGGATTTATGAAAAAAAAAAAAAAACAATAAACAAAAAAACAAATCAACAAACGATTATTCCTGAATTACAGGCTCCTGGCTTAGGACAGGCACATTGTGGCTGTGTTAAACATTCATTTGAGCAATCACCCCTTCCCTTAACCTGGGACAGTGGTGTATCAGCACAAAATAAGAATAAACTGTAAATCAGTATGAAATACCTCGACTCATCAGATTGGTACGAAGCACAAAAACAACTAGCATAAAGACGAAAGACACAAAGTACCAATCTAAGAATACTCATAGTTACTAACAAGAGTGGACACACTGAAAAGTCTCGCCTGTTTTAGTGTTCATAATTGAATTTATGTTGAAAGTAAAAAAAATAAGTTTATATAAGCTTTACATTAAATTAACATTTTAATGATGAATGAACATGAAGTCAAGGTGAGATAAAGTTAAGGCATTGCAGAAACTGGATAAATATTTGTCAATTCCTTGAGATGAACCTGAAAGACCCCCACCCCCCAAAAAAAAAAAAAAAACTAAAATTATCTTCAATCTTTGATCAAAATATTGTAAAAAGTCATATTTTCATATTATCTATTTATCTATTTATGTTGCTATGCTAAAATATTTTTTACTTATCTCAATACTTATCTTATTTCATATGTATCAAAAATCAGTAAATGTGATTCTGTTGTGCAAACAAAATTTCAAAAGTTCTTCAATCTGTACATATTCAGCCAATTAATCTTTATGAAGGGACTGGAGTGAACTGTATTCTATGTTAAACATTCATGCATGAGTGACCTTATTTTAACATTTTCACACCTTCCAATGTTTTTGTTAATCACGGTTTAGTAATGATCCCTTAAAAGTTTTTGTTATTTATTATCATTATTAATGTTATTTAAAGATTTTTATAAAATAATCTATTTCAATGTAAGTAATCAGCAGTTAAATAATAAAATACATTCCATACACCAAATATAGTTGACCTATTACTTATAGCATCTGAGAAGAAGACCAAACAACAGAAACTTAGCATTGACCAACGAACCATGAAAATAAGCTCAAGGTCAGATGAAACCTGTCAGACAGACGTGCACACCTTACAATCATTCCATACACCACATATAGTTGACCTATAACTTATAGTATCTGAGAAGAGGACCAAACAAGAGCAACTTAACATTGACCAATTAACCATAAAAATGAGGTCAAGGACAAATGACACCTGCCAGACAGACATGTACACCTTACAATCATTCCATACACCAAATATAGTTGACCTATTGCTTATAGTATTAGAAAAACAGACCAAAACACAAAAACTTAACATTGACCAATTAACCATGAAAATGAGGTCAAGGACAAATGACACCTGCCAGTCAGACATGTACACCTTACAATCATTCCATACACCAAATATAGTTGACCTATTGCTTATAGTATTAGAAAAACAGACCAAAACACAAAAACTTAACATTGACCAATGAACCATGAAAATAGGTCAAGGACAAATGACACCTGCCAGACAGACATGTACACCTTACAATCATTCCATACACCAAATATAGTTGACCAATGGCTTATAGTATTAGAAAAACAGACCAAAACACAAAAACTTAACATTGACCAATGAACCGTGAAAATGAGGTCAAGGTCAGATGAAACCTGCCAGACTGACATGTATCCCTTATAATCATTCAATACACCACATATAGCTGACCTACTGCTTGTAGTATCTGAGAAACGGACCTAATCACGTAACTTTAACCTTGATCACTGATCCATGAAATGAGGCTGAGGTCAGGTGAACCCTGTCTGATGGACATGTAGACGTTGCAAGGAACCCATATAACAAATATAGTTATCCTATTACTCATAATAAGTGAGAAATTTACATAACAAAAAAACTAAACTTTTTTTTCAAGCAGTCGCTGAACCATGAAAATAAGGTCAAGGACATTGGACATATGACAGACGGAAAGTTCGTAACATAAGGTATCTGCATACAAAGTATGAAGCATCCAGGTCTTCTACCTTCTGAAATATAAAGCTTTATACAAATATTTTACGCCGCCGCCGCCGCCGGATAGTAATACCTATGTCTCACTTTCTGCGACTTTCGTCGCAGGCGAGACAAAAACTAGTTCAAAGCCAATAACAACAATTAAATAAATGATGTTTCCCAGACTAAAGTATTGACCAGTACCAGTACACATCAAACGGATTGGGAGTAAAGACGTCAAAAAAAATTCTTTAAGTAAGCTGAGATGTGACTGTGACATGATTGTTTACTTTTTGACTATCTATGGAACGCACGGCCTTGAATGTAGAAGAATTTATAATTCTATTCTTAAGAATTTTCGTGTAGTATTTACGTCACCACATTGTTGGCTTCCTAATCGGTCGGTACGAACACAAAACGAATTGCGAGTACTCGATGTTTGTTTTATGGTCGTATTACTAACCCTTTTATTAATTTCTAAATTATTTCCGAAATGCGATATGCGAATACCAACAATATTGAGACATTTATTCAAACAGGTATCACTGAATTTTTTGTCAGATTTCTCCGGTTTACACCTTTAAATACAATAGGATGAAAGAGCATCTCTAATGACCTTACAGCATTCTTTTCAATTTATTGTTAAAAGAGGAGGATATTCTTTTCATTTTTTCAGAAAGATTATAATCTTTCGGTTCTGAATGATAATAAGGTTTCCTTTAATTACATGACCATAGGGATCATATCTTAACTTCGACGTCTCACAGTCTCGTGTTGAGATGCATTATTTTCTATTCTGACGTCAGATGTAACTGAGATGTAATAAAAGATTAAACTTTGGCTTTTTTTATACGTATAATAAATTATAGGTAGTTTAATATTATCTAAATAAGAAGGTATAACTTTTTGAACAGTAGAATTATTAAAAATATTGTAGTTGCTTTGAACAAGTTACTGTGATTGGAATGAACAAGTCAAAACAGTACCTGTCATATGATTAAACAAGTCTTTAGGGACCTGGGATCACTTTGAATAATTCTACGAGTATATTTGGTCGGCAAAAACAAGTATACAAGCCCTTTTCAACTGACTTTTATAGTTTGTTCTTATGTTGTACTGTTACACCACTGTCCCAGGTTAAGGGAGGGTTGGCGCGCCTTCAAACTTGTTTAACCCCGCCACATTCTGTATGTGCTGTCAAAAGTCATGAGCCTGTAATTCAGTGGTTGTCGTTTGTTGCTCTATATCATATTTAATTTTCGTTCATTATTTTGTACATAAATCAGGCCGTTAGTTTTCTCTTTTGAAATGTTTAACATTTGTCATTTCGGGGCCTTTTATAGCTGACTATGCGGTATGGGTTTTACTCATTGTTGGAGGCCGTACTGTGATCTATAGTGGTAATTTCTGTGTCATTTGGTCTATTGTGGAGAGTTGTCTCATTGGCAATCATACCAAATCTTCTTATTTTTATACATACAAGTACCTGTCATCGACTTGTAAAAGAGTATCAGTTTTTGTAATCGATTTGAACGATAGCCCATCATTATTCTTATCATAGAGCTCTTTAATGACATTTTTCCTAACGTGCACATATTATACACATTCAGAATCGACTGAGATATGATGGACAAGATATGTTATAAACTTTTAAAACACTTTTTCTCTTTTCAAGGAGCATAACTAAAAACAATGATTCTCAAACCTTGGCTTGAACATTGCTATGAACTAATTTCATAACAAACTTCATTGAAGTAAACACATAAATGATAATAATGCATGTGATAATAATAATAGAACACCCCACTTAAATAAAAAAAAAAGGCATAACGCTTATTTGCTTAACCATTTACACATCATATTAAAACTACGGTTCTACCAATACCCATCGTTTCGCTTTATCAAAATAATTCTGTAATGAATGATGCTTGTTTGGTTTTATGCCTTTTTGATACTTTATACTTAAATATTAGGGAGACTACTGAAAATAAAATTTGTGTGTAACATAAGAACTTATCCATATAAGCTTATCTCTTTTTGAAATATAAGTCGTGTCATAAACAATTATAATACTAAATATAAAGAGTAATTTGATATACTCTAATCTTCGTATGCACATAATATTTGTTCTTTCATGACCCACATCTGAATTTGAATAGGAATGTCGGATTTTAATGAACAATTACGTAGGATGAAAAGGTGGTTTTACCATTTTGACCAGGAAGTATCCAAACAATTCAGCATTTATAGCACAGATTAATGAAAAATGGGTCTGATTTATTTCGCATAACTTAAATAAATATAAATAAATAAATAAATAAATAAATAAATAAATAAATAAATAAATAAATGAATAAATAAATAAATAAATAAATAAATAAATAAATAAATAAACACATGTCCGTGTATTGAGTTGGAGAAACCTTTTTCAAAATGGAGCTCTATTGTTGTATATGTGTCGATATGTTGCTTTCTCCATGATTTATACCCTACAGCACCTTATATGACTTAGATTTGAAATGGTTAACATTTTCAGGATATAGAAACATGTATATTAGATAATTAGCTACACCAAAAAATAAGACTTTCAAAGCAGGTAACGCGGTTTGTAAAAAGGCAAGTTTTTCATTTTGATCCTGTTAGTTTGTACTTTTTAAAAATAATTATTGCCAATCTTATATTAAGGAATATATAATTATATAGAAATATCAATGATTGTTTTATATAAAATATATAATAGTGTGTATTCATTTATGTGCGTTGTTTGAGAACAAATAGCTATTTCGAGGTACGTAATTTCGAGGTTACATCTTTTGCTCCTATCTAAGACACTAAAACGTGCAATTCGTTTAGTATTTGAAGTCGTGGCTTCCATTTACCAACGAAATTGGCATTCCATCATTATGAATATTTATTTTAATAAATCCACAGTATAAAAACTTATAGAAATGTAAATAAAAAATATTGTTGGAATAAATTGTTCAGAAATATTTATTTTTGCAAAACTATTACCTGAATTTTCGTTATAAGCCCAGAATCTTCTTTAACATTGTCTCCAATAGAAACTAGCACACCGATGTATCCGTTTCCTGATAATGTGACTGCCGAGTTTGCAAGTGAAAATCCAATTAGGAAAGCTACCAGCTTGAGGATGTTGGACATGACGGTATCTGTTAATACCTACCTGGACTGAAAAATAACGCGGAAGTTCTATTGTATGACTTAATCATATTATCTGTATTATTTTTGTTTAGAAAAGTAATATTGAATTCAGATTCACGATGTCCTGTCATTAACACGAACAGTCTACATTTACATAATAAAATAATATTATGATCAACTAACTTTGAAATAATAAACCAATGACCGAATAGAGAGAACACGTGCATTATGTATTTCTTTTACGTACAAACCTGGAATAAGAACTATTTGATATGTTATTCTATATCTCAACAATCTTTTAAACAACCTTGTATAATAGAGAACATTGGTTTTTGGATGGCATGTGTTTCATACATTATTTTGATCTTCATATGATATTGATCTTTGAATTCATGGTGATCTCGATGTTTCACTAAATTCATAAAACTTAATTATTTAGTGCTTTCAAAATTTCAACATTGAATGATATCTAGACGTAAGAAAATATAATTTGGATGTGAATTTTGAACAGATATATCATGTTAAGGAGGGGTATTTGCGAAAAATTCCAGTCGAGAGAATGTTAAATTTCGCGAGCCGTAAGGCGAGGGAAATTCATTCTCAAGGCTGGTATTTTTCGCAAATACCCCCCAAGAACATGCTATATCTGTTTAATTACACCAAATGTTAACGTTCAAAAACGCATTGGTGATCGTGACGTTACAAGCGTCCAGTCGGATAGAGTATTTTTTGGCAAATACCATGGCAGAGAGGGTAAAAAAGGCATATCCTTTTTGCATATACCCCGGCGGCATTAAAAAATGAACGATATTCATTTGATAACAGTAAATTGGTGAAAAATACACTGGCTATCAACCAATCAAAACCCAGGATTCTTACATAAGGTGTAATTAAAGGAGATATTGGGTATACATCGATGAGACAGCAACTCAAATATACATATACCAACACGACATGTCAATTAGTAATTTGAATTTTTTAGTTTAATATTGTGGTCTCTAATATTTGTATTCTAATTTATGCATATGTGATATTCATTACTGTGACTTGACTGTTAGTGTTGCTCTCCACCTATTGCAACTTATTCAAAATTCTGGCCAAATTGCAATTTGTTTTATAAAACCAAACTGTTCAACTGGTCAGAAATTTGAACAAACTGCTGTTGAAAACCACAGTCAAGTCGTGAAAGTGCAAGGTGATAAAATAAAGCATACTTACAATCCTATAAGACTTTAATTCCACTTCAATGTTATTATGAAAAATCAGTCTAACAGTTTGTATGGAAATTTTATTGTTATTGTCATGCTAAGGGTGATGGATAGAAATTTTGAATTGCTATAAAAATGTCCAAACTAAGCTTTCATACAATTTTTCTTTCAAAAAGTCTTCTATATTCAAAAGAATCAGACATCATTTGAATTAAAACATCTTATATTCAATAAAATATACAATACGTTGTTAATAAGTTTCCATGGGAGATAACCTAAAACATTATTTTTTTTAATATAGAAGACTTTTCGAAAGAAAAATTGATTATCTCCCATGGAAATTTCCTAACAACGTATTGTAATTTCACACATATTTTACTGAATATAAAATAATTGCGCTCCAATGTAATTCTAAGTGAAGTATACTGGGAAAGTAAAATTATATTCTTTTACAGAAATATTTACACATTTTATCATTAATGTATTGTCGTGCTTCTGCATATTTACGCTGAGCTTTAGTTAAATATAATTCTATATAAATTTTGTTACGTCAAGCATTAAGAGTAAGAATATATTTCGCGCCTAAACAAGAAAATAATCTGTGTCACCAAATAAGTTTATCAGCATCTTTCTGAAATTTTCCTACAGAAAATAGCGTTAATTATAGAGAAATTTTGGTGAGTATTACTAATTAATGTTAAGGTTCTCCAGAGGTGGTTCTCTACACCTTCTTGGCGGTCAATTTAATCCCATTTATCAATTATCCCCGATGGCGACGACACCCAGTCGATTTGTGTCATGAGTGAAAATCTTATCTATTTGATGAAATAACTTCTTCATTACCTGTACATGCAATATTTTTGTAGTTTTTGATAACCGTGCACATTCCCATTACATGTCCGCAAGATAAATGGGTTACGCATTTGTGAATTGTGTAAGTACAGTAATATTGTGTAATAAGAATAATCATGGCGGAGGATAAAAATTTGTGACGGTCAGTGCGTGATCATCACGTGACATTATTATTTTTAAACAAACGGGCTCCCCATGTAACACGTGTCGGAACTATCCATACAAGGTGCAATCAATCTTATATTTCACTATTTGATGATATTTCTGTGTCTGTTTGTAGGTTTTGCAGATCAGATGTCATAGTGTAGTTTCATAGACAAAAAAGTACCATGATTGTTCCTGTTCAGTAGTTGTGAATTTTTTTTATAGAATAATTAGAAGGTAAGTCTACATTAGTCATTATTTAAATTAAGTCTGAAAAAAATGAATCAACTCTCTGTGTAATTTTCCCCCAATTTTTGAAACATGCATAATTTAAAGAGCATTTGCTTCCCTTGAACCCTCCCCCCTTACAAATTGCCCAAAACTCATACTCATAGTCCGAGATTACTCTGATGTCCAACATCTGTTTTTGCGATTCCGGCATTTTAACTCTTTATTTTCAAATTGAACACACTCGGCCATTCAGCTTATTTGCATCATAAATGAACGAGGTGTTAGATTATGTTTTCCTATTGAATAAGGGTCATTTTCATAAATCAGCTGTCATACATGTACATGTAATGCATTGTAAATTACTTTTTCTGTTGGTCATGTCACAATCTTTTAAAGTTAAATTAAAAATGCCAGTATTGATGTGTCAATGTGAAAACTGTCCAAATATGAGAAAATAGCGGATGGCAGGTCGATTAAACTTACTTAAATGAAGAGAACAATGAACTAATTGAGGCTCGATTTATATAGATTATGTTTTCCTATGGAATATGGGTCATTTGCATAAATCAGTTCCCGTAATGTTGGTCATGTGACATTCTTATAAAGTGAAAGTTAAAATGGGGGTACCTTCATGACGAATAACGGTAAAAAATCTTGCAAAATGACGTTAACGGTAATTTTTGGTGCATGACGATAAAATGAAGACTTTCTTCAAGACGATAAAAAAATCGACAGATTTTGACGAATCACGTTAATTTTTTCCCAAAAATAACTGTAACAATAATTATTTGAGACCTCTGACGAATCATCATAAGGATATGTAGACGAATCACGGTAAAATGTTAACCAATTTGATGCTAACGGTAGCCCAAAATGACCGTTTGTCGCCTGACGGTAAAGGGCATTCATACCCTCTAAAATGCCAGTATTGATGGGTCAATGTGAAAACTGTCCAAATATGAGAAGATAACGGGTGGCAGGTTGATCAAACTTACTTAAATGAAGAGAAAAATGAATAAATTGAGGCTTGATTTATATGAATCCAGTCGCCTCCACTTTGGACGGGCAAATATCATCTTATCTGATATGGGACCAGCTGAAGTCCCACTGCCCTAGCTGGTGTCGCAAAACAGTCGTTGGAGGTTAGAGTAATCTCCGACTACAAAACTCAATTCCAATGACAAAAATGCCCTAATCTTAAATTGAAAGCATTGGAAAAGTAAACTGTAAATTATAATTTTGACAATGACCACAATTTGTTTTAGTTCAATGTACATGTAATAATATGCGGGATAATACATGAACTTAATACTGCTTCAAGGTTATACAGGTTTGTCAATGTAAAAATAAAATAATTTGCTAACTTAGGGAGCTACCATTTGATTTTTTTTTTTGGGGGGGGGGGGGGGGGGTCTAGGATGAAATTTGAAAAAAAGGCAGGATGACAATTTATGTAAAATCAAGTCGGGATAAACTAATAGAAAAAAGGGCAGGACAAAAAAAGTGAAAAATAAAAAGGCAGGACAGATTACATCTCGAACTAAAAAAAAAATGCAGGACAAACTTTTTCATCCTAGCCCCCCTTTTCCCCCCATAAAAATGGAAAGGAAGCTCCCTTATAGTGTTTCCTTCAGAGGGTGCTGGCCTGGAATGGTACCCTGCAGTTTTCATACGCCTGTTCATGAGAAATATTATGGTATGCCTTTGTCCGTCTGTCTGCCCTGATCTGTCTGTTTCTAGCATGTTGTTCACTAACTCGGTAATATTGTCACCAATTTGCATGAAACTCTGGTGAATTGATTATATCTACTGATGTGAGCTCCCTTTTAGATTTTTAGGAATTTTATAATTATACAGTTTCAAAATGTGAGGTTTTATTCATTTAAAAAGGGGGATTTTCATGTTCCCATTAACTCTAAAAATGCTTTGTTCACCAACTCTTCAACGCTTTCACCAATTTGCATGGAACTGTTGTGAATTGATTATTTTAAAAATTTTAGTTTCCTGTTTCAGAGTTATATGGGATTGTATTTATGTATTGATGTGAGCTCCCTTTAGATTGTTTTGGAATTTTAGAATTTACATTATCCAGTTACAATGTAAGGGGTTTTATTCATTCAAAAAGGGGGATTTACATGTTTTTGGACATTAACTCGAAAATGCTTTAAGCAGTTGTTATTTGTCATGAAACTTTGGTTAATTGTTTATATATATCTATTGATGCAAGCTCCCTTTCAATTTAATAAATTGTGGGATTTTATTCGTGAGCTCCCTTTCATTTTTTATAAATTTTAGAATTTACGTTTCTGAGTGATGGGGTTTTATTCATTAAAAAAAGGGGGATTTTCCAGATTTCGGACAATAAACGCTTTCACCAAATTGCAAGAAATTGTGGTGAATTGTTTATATCTATTGACATGAGTTTCCTTTCGATTTTTATATATTTTAGATTTTACATTTCTGAGTTACATGTACAGGGTTTTATTCATGAAAAAAGGGGTGATTTTCCAGTTTCGGACATAAATCGAAAATGCTTTCAGCAGTTCGTATGAAACTTTGGTGAATTGTTTATATCTATATTGATGTAAGCTCCGTTTAGAATTTTATAAATTTTACATTTCTGAGTTATGGGGTTTTATATATTCATTAAAAAAGGGGTGATTTTCCAGTTTTCGGACAATAGCTCAAAAAATGCTGTCAGCAATTC